AAATAAATAAAAGAAAAATGATTGATTTTTATTAAGTAACAGACAAAATTATCCCAAAAAAAAAGAAAAAGAAAAAAGAGTAGCTGGTCAGCACTGACTTCCGATGTTTCCTAGCAGCAACATCCCAAACAAATAACAAATCGGACTTGGTCGCCCCGATTTATTTTACTATTATTAAAGTTCTTCAACTTTTCTCCTATAAACCCATTTTTATCCATTTTTTCGAGCTCAAATTATTTGGTTTCACTGTACATGGAATCCATTTTTTGTTTCCTCCATTGCCACAAATCGGTACTGCTTTTCTCTCTTCTCTCTCTCTCTCTCTCTCTCTTTATAGTTTTTTGTTCAATTATCTCATTGTTATTGTTTGGATATGTCGATTTTGGTGTGCGTTTGTCGTTTTCTTTTTCGAGATTGATCTTCGCAGCGAGTTACTGGTTCTCGTGATTGATTCTGGATATTTGTTTTTGATTTCTGTTGAGATGATTCTGTTTGATTCGGAGCAAATAGTGCGTTCGATTGGTCCGATCTACTTGTTCGTGGCGATCTCATTTACGTCATTCGGGTTTTTTTTTTGGAATCCCTAATTTCTTCGATTTAGGGCTTGATTTTTGTTTTTTCGTCGCAGGATTTCGTGATTGAGATGCTATTGATGAGGCGTAATTGGTGAGGGTGGGAGAGACCGTGAGGGTCCGAGTCGAAGCGCGATTCTGTGTTTCATGGGCAATACCTGCCGTGGATCTTTCAAAGGGAATATATTTCAGGGCTACAGCCAGCCCGAGGACGGCTCCATCCCCAATTCCAAGCGTAATAACAACAGTGCTTCAGACCGCTCCAATTCTGACATTTTCCCTTCCAGCAATCTGATTTCCCAAGAATCTGGCAAAGACTACAAACCCAAATCCAAGGACAGCGATAACACTCCAACCTTCTTGAGCCCCACCAAGAAAGACTACATAATGAGGAAAGGCAGTGATAACCAAGCCTATTATGTTCTGGGTCATAAGACTGCTAACATTCGGGATCTCTACACTCTCGGTCGAAAATTAGGACAAGGACAGTTTGGAACCACTTATTTATGCACTGAGATTACCACTGGCATTGAGTATGCTTGCAAGTCTATCTCAAAGAGGAAGTTGATTGCGAAGGAGGACGTTGAGGACGTTCGACGGGAGATTCAGATCATGCACCATTTGGCAGGTCATAAGAATATTGTCACAATCAAGGGTGCTTATGAAGATTCTTTGTATGTTCATATTGTAATGGAGCTTTGTAGTGGTGGTGAGTTGTTCGACCGGATCATCCAGAGGGGGCATTACAGTGAGAGGAAAGCTGCTGAGTTGACCAGGATTATTGTTGGTGTTGTCGAGACTTGCCATTCGCTTGGAGTTATGCATAGAGATTTGAAGCCAGAGAATTTCTTGTTGGTTAACAAGGACGATGACTTCTCCCTTAAAGCTATTGATTTTGGCCTCTCCGTTTTCTTCAAACCAGGTGAAAAGAAAGTGAAGCAGTTATGATTTTTCCTTTTTGGATTTTTCTGATGAATCAAAAGTCTAATAGGTATATGGTTCGGCAATATTTGCTCCATAACTGTGTACATGGCATATGTAGTAACTATGATAACTGCCGCTGGCATATCAGATTAATCATATGATAATCCCCACAATGAGTTTTAGAAAACATTTGTTTTGAAATATTCAGCTTCTTTAAGGAAAAAGATTGAGATTCTGGGAATAAACATATGCATTATGCAGAAAAAGAGAAGTAGGAATGCTGCAATAAATCAAAAGGAGGTAATCCCCGATCCTTTCCTAAAAGATGCTGAATATTTCAACTGATTGAACTCTCACATTTCAATGTTACAAAATTAGCATGCTTTACTTGAGCTTCTTTTTCTTCCATTTACATTTGTTTAATCCATTGCAATGAATTACTTTTCATTGCTGATACACACGAAACTACTTCAGGTCAAATCTTCACTGATGTTGTTGGAAGCCCATACTATGTTGCTCCTGAGGTTCTCCTCAAGCACTATGGACCGGCAGCAGATGTGTGGACTGCAGGAGTTATATTGTATATATTACTTAGCGGTGTGCCACCATTTTGGGCAGGTACATGTTTCATTTCAAATAAAAACACTATGTAAGTCTGAATGAGTTATTGACTCCAAAGGGCTGCCCGGTTGAGGAACTGGGGTGTTGGGTGGTAAGGGCACTCGGGTCCTAGTTGTTGATTCTTTGAACAGGTTGATTAATAATGAAACCCTAATTTCTCTAGGCACAAGTGGGGTGGGGTCCAATATCATGGTTTTAAGAAGAGGTAAAAAACCAGTTATTATAGATGGTTGCTAAACAGTGGTTCTTTTTTACCATTCTCCACTCTCAGAAACTCAACAAGGAATATTTGATGCGGTGCTTAAGGGACATATCGATTTTGACTCAGACCCATGGCCCTTGATCTCTGACAGCGCAAAGGATCTTATCAGAAAGATGCTATGTTCTCGACCATCAGACCGTTTGACTGCACATGAAGTATTATGTAGGTTTACTTCTCTATATTTCTTAAGTTTTTATGAAGGTAAAAATGAAAGACCTGTTATGTATGGCATTAGAAAAGGAAGTTTCTTTATATGTCTGATGCATTTTTCCACGTTACAATGATTGTCACATGTTGGTTATACTTCGTTCTTTGATGCCCTGTAATATTCGTTTTCATGCTGTTCTAGGCGACTTCAGATGCTCTGACCTCTGTGGTTTTTTGTCAAAATATAATTTGATCTGTTGAATACACAAATTAGTTTTTTTAAGGGAGAAAAAAAATAATTTAAGAATCCTTGTAACATCTTTTGGAATTGTCTAACAGACTAACACACACAAATTAGTCACCCTCTTGTATATGTATTTCTTCCTTGATCAATTTCCATATCCTAAGAGTTTTCAGTTTAGAATATTCAGAACCTGAACGATTATGGCTTTGTTGTTATGAATAGTGTAATTGCATTCATCATTCTAAGTGCTATACTGCGTATGATTGAATTATTTCTTCATGATTTGTACAGGTCATCCTTGGATTTGTGAAAATGGAGTTGCTCCTGATAGGGCTCTCGATCCAGCTGTACTTTCTCGACTCAAACAATTCTCTGCAATGAATAAGTTAAAGAAAATGGCATTACGAGTAAGTATATCATTTATCAACATGTTTCGCATAGGCGAGATTTATCTACTAGTTAGAAAAGCTTAATGCATTTGCTTGCATTGCCCTCAGAAATTTTCGTCTTAAATGACTCTGACTAATCTGCACGTTTGTACCGTTAGGTGATTGCTGAAAGCCTATCTGAAGAGGAGATTGCTGGCCTAAGAGAAATGTTTACAGCTATGGACACTGACAACAGTGGTGCAATTACGTTTGATGAACTCAAAGCTGGTTTGAGAAGATATGGTTCGACCTTGAAAGATATTGAAATACGTGACCTCATGGATGCGGTAACCTTTTCATGTCCTTGGACTCCATATTTACATTAACATCGTTAATATTCTTATCTATTTTGTCTGAGTTTAGATGAGCTACATCTCTGCTGCCTTGTGCTATTTACTTAAAGAAATTTCAAATTCATATATAGCCCTCGCATCCTTGACGTTTATTACTTACATACCTATTACAAATCAAAGCATAAAGTAGTTAAATGTCAGGAAACTTTAGAAGCATGTTTGGATAATATAGCTGCGGTTTGGTCGTTGCTGAAGGATTTTGTTGGTTGGGACTAATCATTTTGTTCTTGATAGCAACTAGAACTGCGCGAAATCTCTTATTTGCCTATTTTGGCTGGGGTGATTGAGAGGAACTGAAAACTCTTTAAAGATAAGTTTGAGACTTCGGGATGTTCTTGACTTAGCTCAATTCCATGATTATTTGGTGTCCTCGTTCATTTTCTTTTGTCATTATGCTCCCTTTGTAAACTAACTAAATTTGGAATGATTTTTGTAACCCTTAAGGGGAAGTTGGTGGGTTTGGTTTTGTTTTCACTATATGACTTGTTATAGAGATTGGGTAGTAGTAGGCTATTGAATTATTTGCTATTCAATCTTGTCGTCGTCTTGGTCGGGTTTCCATCCCAGAATTTGAATTCCCTGTAACTTTTTGCTTAATCAAAAAATTTGTTTTTGTTCTGTAAAAAACTGTGAGAAATCTGCGCATGTAACTTTGAATTGGGCTCTCTCCTGCTACACTGGTACTGGTATTGTTTGTGATTGTTGTAGCTTATGAGTTTTTCTTTCTACCCTGTTTAAGAATATGGCTATTGGAAGGCGAGACTACTTCAAGTTTCAGAAATGCACTTGTTTCATATGATTAAATTTGTTGATTTTTTTTTCTAAGAATGTGTATGGTTTCTATGCTTATCAGTTGTACTGCTTGAAAATTTACTTGAATTTCTTTCAGGCTGATATTGACAATAGCGGGACTATCGATTATGGAGAATTTATTGCTGCAACCATTCATCTCAACAAACTAGAGCGGGAAGAACACCTTGTTGCAGCATTTCGATATTTTGACAAGGATGGAAGTGGTTACATTACACTTGATGAGCTGCAGCAAGCTTGTACAGAACATAATATGACCGACGTGTACCTCGATGACATCATCAGAGAAGTCGACCAAGATAATGTAATTCTCTCAACTTTATTAGAAAATCATGCTTTTGGTACTTCTCTATTGTGAGTAGAATCCAACCAGGCTATGGTTTCGGTCACAATTCGTGACCATATCCATCTTTCTTGGACCTGGGTGGCTAGGAAGAGTTTGAATGTGTTTGTGAAGTTAGTGAAGTTGATCCATGCTGTTGAGGGACTAATTTGAGGCATGGAATGGAGGAGAAGAAAAGTAAATCAAGGACAAGGTTCTGATGAAATGGAGAAGATTGGGAATGATCTAGCATATGCCGAGTACCGATGGATTATTGATAAAAAAATGATGAATTAGTTTTTGACCCTTGCACAAGGAATAGTTCCCGATACTTCCATATTGGTATAGTAATTAATTTTTGTTGTATGATGCAGGATGGAAGGATCGATTATGGCGAATTTGTTGCCATGATGCAGAAAGGCAATGCAGGAATTGGAAGACGAACTATGAGGAACAGTTTGAATTTGAGCATGAGAGATGGACCCGGTGCCATTTAACTTCTGAACCACGTGCTTGATGTACTGGTACCRATCGTTTATCTATATTTACGTCTCGGTTTCATTGCTTTTGCCAGAAAACTTAATATCATGTTTGATGAGTCATGAGTAGATGATAAAGTATTTTAGAATGATGCCACTAGCAATGTCTCAAGTTTGAACTTCAACATGGATGGTGCAAAAAAGGGTTTGAAGGCATAGATTTCGATCATGCTAATCTGGCGTTCACATCTGAGATTATCGAGCCTTATGAGTGTAAACTCTGCAGGTTGTACAGCGGATGTAGAGCCGGGGAGTTTGACACTTTCCCAACACGGTTGAGCTCCTCTTCCTCCTAGCTTCCAGCACTGTGTTGCCAAGGATTTCAGTGGTGAAAATTTCTGCTCGAGCATCTCTCTAATAATCCTAAATATCGCTGTATAGCCAAAGGATGATGTGGTTAGAAATATGAACTCTAGAGTGTGAAAGTGCAAGAGCTGTTTAAGTTGCTAGGTTCTTTTGCGTAACATTTTCATTTGGGGATTATTTATCTGTTTGTATAGATACTCTACCTCTCGCCCAGATTTGATTCCAATAATGTAACTTTTCTCCATTGCTAATGCCATCGAATTCTCCGTTCGACCAAAACTAAGAGGCACAACACGGGCGATACATTCACTCGCACATGGTACTAAATCTGACAAACTCCTATCATATTGCACCTTTGCAAGAATGCTGCCGTGCATATTGTGATACAGATTCAACTTGAGATTCAATATACTGTGTACAAATTTGTTTATGTCTTCTACTAAAAAGAGAAATCACTTGAGGTAATAAAATAAGGTCGGAAGTTTGAATTTCCACCTGAACTCAAAAGAGCGTTCACTAGAACCAAACTCGAGTGGACAAGGTGCCACAATAAAAGCTCCTTAGATGCTATAAGATTATTTTACTAAATCAGGAAACAATTGCATACTACAGGTGGGTTTTTGTATTTTTAAACTTCATTCTATAGAATGCAAATACATGGCGAATACATATTTCAGTACTATTTTCTCCCCAAGTCACCTTGAAGTAGATCCCCTTCGTGATGGGCAAACCAAGGAATCGATCTCAGGACCTTCTCTGTAGCATAATTGAACTGACATCTGTAAGCTACTCTCTTAAGCAGGGGTATCATTTGCAATTGATATTTCCTGCATGCAGGAGGGCAGGCAATGTCAAACCAAGCACATGCAGGACCAGAGCCAAGGAAAAAGACGACAAGTTCGTCTTTATTCAATATATAGCCAAGGAAAAAGACGATGAGTTCGCCTTTATTCAATACATATATATAAGGTTAAATTACAAGTTCGGTCTTTGAATTTTCAAGATTGTTATATCTAACAAATCCCTGGACTTAAAAAAGTGTCTAATAAGAGTTACGAAGTACAGACTTATTAGACACAAAATTAAATATTTAATCTCTTACTAGACATTTCTGAAGTTAAGGGACTTATTAAACAAAGTTAGAAGACTAAGTTGGTAACCCAAACCTGCATGTATGCCTAAAAAAATTCTACCCGACCCACAGCCGAAATTTGAAATATGAGAAGAAATGCAGAACCTAGAAATAAAACTTGTACACACAAGCCAACTTTGGTGCTCCTGTTCAAAGCATTTTGGCATTAAAATCATCTATGATAACTCGAATATAGCTCAACCAGTTAAGACACCTATCTCCCACTAAAAGACTGTAAGTTCAAATCTCTACCCCACATATCGTACTAAAAAAACTATCTACAATAACAAAATAATACCTAGACAAACATCTAAATCCGCACCTATGAATGCTGCAGAGGGAAAATTAGATGTGGCCAATTTTAATTGGTGGGAATTGGGGAGCATGTATAAATGTTTATTGATAAGCACCCTAGTTTTTTTTTTCTTTTCTTTTTTTTGCCCATAAAATGATTGTAAAAACTTACCTTCAACCTTGCTGTGCTTGAGAAAATGCATCTTGATGTGATTGCATGCCCCTGATCAAAAAGCCATCCTACTTCACAGCAAGTATCCCCACTTTCTTTGCTTTCTCTAAGGGAACACCATAGTTGCTTGGGAAGCACCTTGAGGTCTGATTCAATTCTCGTCGACCTTTGCACATTGTCAGCCAAAAGTTCTTGAACAGCATTCTGTAGTCAATTTTCCAATACATGTTCAACAGGAAACGGAGTTATATTGTGCCTGTTAAAGTCACTTTAGCATGGTTACAGTGATCGCTATAGATTTTAATGACTTGAAAAATAAATGAAACAAGAAAATTGTTGGCAAAGTTTGGATTATTCAATTTCCAGTAAATGGATTAACAAGGCATTATTAGTATCTTATTATAAGGTAGATAGTTGGGTACAAACTATAAACTAGTTCCCACTGATAATTGACCAGATGAACATTTTTAATACTTTGACATGTTCCCCTTTCCAGCTTAAAATAAAACTTGCCACCAATACTTAAGAACTAATGAAGTATGAACAAGTAGCAGTAACAAAACAGAGTTGTAATCAATCATACAAAAATCATGCATGCACTGAAGTCACAGATTTTGTTGATGATTCCAGACAATCCCTTAATTTCAAGCACAAAAGTGAAATGATACAATGTAAGACTTGACCTCTAAGAATGTTGAAGGAAGCAAAAAGGAAAGTTTTGGATCAGTTGCAAAGCAGAATGAGACAATAAATTGTAGCATCTAATCTAACTAAGAACTAAGATTTTAGGATCACTTCAGAATGATATAAAGGTATAAGATGATCAGAGGAAAAGGAAGGTCATATAACTCACAATCTGAGAACCATCAAAATGGGCAACAGAGACAGGACCCTGCCATGTACCAACAACCTCTGAAGCTTTCAAGGCAGCTGTAGAAGCAAATGCAGAATCTTGTATGGCACATCCACCCAGCTGTTCCCCGTTTCTGTATGGTCCATACCACTGCTCGCAGAAAACTCTGATATTCTGCAACACAAGCCGAGCGCCTTCAACTCGAACAACCTGAACAACCCTCACACGAGACTCGCGATCTTGAGGATTAAGCAGGCAATGTTCCAACTCCAATAACTTATAAGCACCTCCACCATCAGCTGGCCAGACAGCTACATAACATCCACTACGTTGATATGCAAATGCAGTTACTTCATCATTTGCACCATTTCCAACATTTCTCTCATCAATGCTGTAACGGGTTGCAGCATCAGCTTCACATCCTACTGTGGGAAGTAGCTTTATTGTCTTGTACATGAAAGAGGTATGCTCTGCTTCCGCAAGAGTGGGGCACTGAGTCTGCCAGTCAAAAACCTTAACCTCCCATTCTCTATAAGCATCGGGTACAACGGATTCCGGAAGTTCAATTGGTGTCCCTCCAGAAGAAAAATCCGCTCCATACCCATCCCACTCGCCAGAGACATTTTTGGCAAAATCAGACCACCCTTTAAACAAATAAAAACACATTAATGGCACGCTTTCGAAATTCGAAGAACTCGAGCCAAATCTCGTGGCGAAAATTTCTGAAGTATAAAAAAGAAGTCACAAAACACGGATGGCTTCACTTAATTAAGAAGCAAGCGCTAAAATCTAATCAAACCGACCTCGCAAGTTATTCCAATAAGAACTAATTACACGATAAATACGAAATAAAGAAGTAAAATGATTCCAATCATACTTACCACTACCAGGAGCAGGACTGAAGCTCTGACTTTGAACGTGAGCATCGGATAGAGCAGTTTTAGCGACAACGGAAGAGGCGTTCGTAGCAGGAACTGAAGCGACGTCCATCCCGATGTTCGAACGGCGATTACAACGAAGCAGATGCTGCGATTGTAACCGTGAGTAGCAGCGGCGGCGTAAAACGGCCGGAGTAGAAACGACGGAAGACGATAAGGCTCTGTTCTGGCAGATAACACTGCTAGAAGCGAACGCCATTAAAATCTTACAGAAAAAACTTTCAGTTATCGCTAATGATTCAGATAAAACTCTGTGGAACTCTCCGGCGTCTTCAGCTCCAGCCCCGACGGAGCGGAAGGGAATCGGAGAAAACGGAAGAAGATGAGAGAATCGGCGACGGCAGTCGGAGAAGAATATTCGTAGACAAATAGAGAAATAAAAAATTAGCTTCGCGAAAAAAAGAAAATACCGAATTGTATTCAATGAGTGAACCGTGCCCGTTTTGATGATCTTTTGCGTTCAAACGACGTCGCTTGTGTCATCTATCTATCCATCCACCACATGCTGAAGCTGAACTTCTCCTTGTCAGTCTGTCAGTTGAATCTTGCTGCGGCCCAATAAGCTCTCATTTTGGACCTGCCTGGCCCAGAAGTCCGCCGGCCCACCTGTGAATATCTGGCATCCAAAAATTCCACTGGAATTAGTAAAATAGAAAGTGAATAAAAGTTTACTTAAGCTAAATTATAATTTTTTTTGAAGGGGTAAGCTAAATTATAATTTTAGTTGTTAATGTGAACCTAGTTTTTTTTTATGAGATTTTTTGATGTAACAAGAATTTAGCGTGACAATTATTTTATGTTTATGTGGCAAATAAACTCTATAATGTAATTTTTTTTTTTTGAGCATGGTCGTGTTAGTTGAAAAACAATTCTAATTTGAATTCACAAAATAAATATTTGATTTAATAATGTTAATTTATTATTCTTTTTTTTTAAAATTAAAAAATGACTCGACATGCTAATTTTTTGCGAATTTTTACTCATGTCAAAGACTTGCGATGGCTTTACTCGAACTATAGAGACAATGATTAAATCTAAAAATATATAAAAATAAAGGATAAAAATGTAAGATAGCTTTTCATTAAACAACCGACAGTAGAATGTTACGTGTCGAGTGGTGATTGGACACACAATGAAGTGGGTATTTATTATACAGCAAATTCTTGGCATTGTTTAGTGAATTAATACTCACACCGACAGAGGGACTTTATTATTACAGCAAATTCTTCGCATTCTTTAGTACACGTTTTTTTTTCCAGTTTTTGAAGAAAAATAATATTAAAGGAGAAAAATGAAATTTGAAAGAGCAGAAATTACATAAACCACTAATCAAATATAGGAGTTGTTGCTATTGCTATCATACCCGTGAACTTTTTTTATAAACGTAAAAACGAGATCTTGTGAACAAGATCATGAGTGCGATCCATAGCTCTCAAGACAAGAAATCAGAATTATTGTATATATGTGAAATGAAATCCTATTCATAATAGAGAGATTGTGGATTTTATAATTATAGTATATTAGGTTGTAATTTCTAGACAATACGTTAGATATATAGTTACTGACGATTATATGAGAAATCTTAATGTCGGTATATACACAGGTTATTAGTGGGATTTCGAACTATCTAGGTGACTTTGGTCGAGTTATCGACCTTTGCGTATTTATGAAGTAATCAAGAAAAATCACATGCAGTAATCTTTTCTCGTCATGCTACATGGTTTGATAGGTCGCATTTTACCATCTAATACCTGTATGAAATAAAATATAAGTTACCCTTCCGAACTTACTTTTCTCTTCTTTCTCCCTTACAAAACGTTTACTTTTTTTTTTTCTCCTCTCTCTCGTTCCTCTATACCGTCGCAAACTTGTATATAAGTTAGTTAGTATAGTAACCTTTTTAATGCACATGTTTGTCATACTTGAAACTGTAATAAATAAAACTTTTCAACTGAATTAATAGCATGATACTTTAAAAATTAAATTTGTACTACCAAAGAATGAGACATTTTACCTAACATAATTTCAAATATTTTAAAATTAAAAAATAAATATTTTTTTTCTTATTTTATTTGCCTTTTGTAAAAAGAAAAAAATCTGTATTGTACTATTTAATCAATGAGAATATATATCATCATAGTTCATAGTTCATTCATGAAAGTGAATGCACAATCCAACATTATGTACAAGGAACCAAACTTCTTTTTTTTTTCCTATTACTATAAAAAGGTCAAACATTTAAAATTTATTTAAAAGTAGGAATCACTTAAGAAGATGCATTGTAATAGTACATATATTAACTATAAATTATTTTAAGCCATTTTTAATCATGTTGTTTCATACCAATACAGACTTAGGGCGATATCTCTCATTATAGGATGCAACATTGGTTTATTCATATTTTCCGTTCATTTTTTTTTGTATTTTTTGAATACTAGAGTTATTTTATTGAAATACTAGAAAAATATGATAGTTTCAAAACTATTTAGAAAAACTGAGTTGTTTTTTGTTTTTATCGTCCATTTTAAGAGATGTGTTTGATAAAAATATTCATGCGTGTCAATCCAAATAATTACTCTAATCTCTTATTTTAGTGTCATATAATTAAATATATTGTTTTATCAAACAAGTGACAAACAAATTTTAATCATTATTAATTTTGTATAGTACATGTACATTTGCAACTTTATTTACTTGCTATATTTCCTGCCTAAATTGTTTTTCATTTAAAATTTTAATGAAAAAGTTTAGCGGTTAGATTCGTAAAAATATAAAGACCAAACAATGCTAAATAAAAGTTACAAAATCCAAATTATTACAACATCCAAACTAATATATTATATTATATATTCATGATGTTTACAAGTTTGGGTTCTTTTAACTATTGAAAGGAAAATAAATTTGTACTTAAAAAGAAAAAACTTTTGAAAGGAAAACTCATTTTTGCCCCTATCATTATATTTTTCTAGTGCACTCAAAATTTACACTATATAATGATAATACTTGAATAAATTTTTTACAAAAGTATAAAAGGGAAATGCATAAATAAATATTTTTTTTCATTTTTTTCATTTTAATTTAGAGCTATCAAATTTTTAGAAATAGGTGCTTATTGTGAGTATTTAAGTATGGTTCTTTATAAATTCAACACCAGATTCAATGTATGTACTTTAAAATAGAAATACGTGAAGAAAATGTGAAAAATAAAATTAAATGTAAAACTAGAAAACGAAAAAAGAAAAAGAAAATAGTATATGAATTATATTGGATGACGCAAGAAATAGTATGCAGAGAAAACAGAAGCTAAGGAATTTTACGTTGCTTATAGCCTTATACAAACAAACAAACAAAAAATCTGCAAAAAAAAAAGGTAGTAGAATTCTTATGTACTTCATCTCTTTGATCTCTTAATTTCCGACGAAGATCTCTGCAATTTCTCTGTTCTTCTCCACCTCAGGGCCGGCGAGCAAACAAATTAAATGTGTTCTGAGTTCCGATCGATCGAAGAACGAAGAAATGAGCATTTCGAAGCAGGTTGATTTTCCAAATCGTTTACCAGAGTCCTCCATTGCCGGAATCGGAAGCTTTTTTTCACTAACCTTGATCTGAATCTAGCTTGAAACAGCGTATTATTCAATACCAAAGCCTGAATTTCTTCAAACACATAAAAATCGATTACAGTGTAGATATAGCTAGGTTTTCACTCCGTCGTCGAAATTCTTCGAGTAATTGACGGAATCGTACTTGAAAGTTTGAGGAAGACCGACGCGATCGGATCGCATAAGCTTCCGGAACTCAGACCTAACCTTATAGAAAAGATGCCGCCAACTACCTCTGCAATTAGATCCAAGAGATTTGGTTTCATCGTCGTTAATCTCCAGATCTTTGGCGAAGGGAGCCTTGCGAGAGAGGATCCAGGACCATCCCCAATCCCACCACTTCCTCAGCGAACTGCCGGAGTATTCGCGCATGGAGGACACCGATTTGGATCTACGAAACGGCCAGGAAGTGACAGGCGAAGAAATCGGCTGGATCTTGAAGGAAATCGAAGAGAGCCTTCGGCGTAGCGTTTGATCGGAATCTGGATGCGAGACGGGGAGCGCGTCGTTGAGAGGCCGCGTCGGAAGAAAGCTCCGCCGCGGAACGAAAGTCATGGTGATGGCGGTGGCCGGAGATCGGAGAAAGGGGAATAGAGAGGTGAGAGCTGTGTTTTCAGAGGCAGTTTTATTTCGGTTTTGGCGCGGGGGTTGGGTTGGAGATGATTTTCGTGGGCCCCTTCGGATACTGCGTTTCTTAATGACTGAGCGGTTAAAGCTGTGGCTCTTTCTCTAAGATCAAAGTTTCAGTTTCGATCTCAGTCTTTGCAATTAAGAGGTTGTGAGTTCGATTTACTATCCACATATTGTACTACAAATAATAAATGTACAATTCATCGGTATCACTCATAATTCTGTTAATGTCGCTAATAGGAGTGGTAACAATAAAACAATTTGGTTCGAGAAGTTTAGACCTTCTTTTTAGCTGCTAAACTATGCTCATTTTGGCCAAGAAGTTTAGACTTGGTGTCTACTATCTACATTTTTAATCATTAAAGTTTGAAAAATGGTTTTAGATGATTTACGAACTCGTTTGACTGTTAGTTGACGGACCTCTTCGTATTTCGTATTGAAATATGATCAACGAATCGTTCAATGACGAGGAACGCTCCTTGTCATTCTAGATCTGGATGAGGAACATCCGTTTCTTTGTCCAAATTTGGAACGTCTATGTAACAAACGATACGGGGTAAAGGTGGTGGTGAGAGTGTCTAGCAAGGAGGTGGCTGATGAAGTCTACTCAACCAAAAATATTATTAAATTATTTGTCAAATCATCAAAGTGTAGTCCATAATTTAATAACACGTTTAAATGAAGTTAGGAACATTTAGAAATTTTTTTAAAATCTTATCTTAAGGGTTAAAAGTGTCCATAACACTAATTTCGAGCTGAGATACCAAAAATGTGGACTTGGATGCCTCTTTATTAAATTTTTTGTTTCATAAAAAAAAAAAAATCTTTTGTATCCTAAAATTTCATTTCTTAAATTGTTTGCTATCACTTTTTTTTTTTTTTGGAAGATAAAGTAAATATATGTTTTTATTTGGAATAGGGTGGATTTGGTGTAATTTTGGAAATGATAAAATATTCTTTTGGTTTTAAGAGTGCTTTTTAAATAAACTTATTTTCATACAATGACATATAACTATTAATTTCGTACATTTCAAAAAAGAGTGGCAATTTAAACAGAAGAACTTCAAAGAAAATTGGTCTAAACTTTAGGGGGCAGAGCATAATTTAGTTTTGGTCAAGTGTTTAATATATTGCAATAAATGTTTGAATAGAGAAGTTAATAGAATAGTTATCAACTTCTCATGTTAGTTTTATTTTATTATTTTATTTTATTAATTCTTTTTTTTGAGAAGCAAGTTGAGAATATTTATGAGCCCCGGCTAAATGGGCTCCATTATTTTTTCCTCCGGCCATTGACATTTATTATTTATTTTTCCACCATTATGATTTATATTCAAATAAATAAATAAATATATATATATATATATATATATATATATATATATTCATAATCATTAACAAAGACAATAAAATATAAAGTTTATAAGAAAACAATAAATCGGCACACAGTACTACGTTCGGAAATGCTTCTTCTAAGAGTTTCTTTCTTTTTTTTTTTTAATATGAATAATATTTTGGGTTAGTTTTATCGTATGTTAAAATAATTAAATTTTAATTTCCTAAAAATATTGGACTAACACTAATACTAAAATGCATATAAGATCCATATTTTGACAACATAAATTTTGAAAAGTATTCACCATTAAAAACATATATTCCAACCAAAAAAAGTTTTATCAAATTCAAATAATTTCAGTCTAGATATTGCTCTCTTTAACTCGTCACATACCATTTTACAATCAAGAAACTAAAACCCTTTTCTAAATGTTCTACTCATGGTTAAAACTTCAATTTACAAAATCTAAGATTGGGAAGTTTGTATTTGTACATTTTGTTATGTTTGGTCTATGAAGTTATTATAAAAGTTAATATATAATATAAATCGTTGGACTTTGTAAGATAACTTGCAAAGCTTATAGAATTAACGAACGAGAAACAAGTCTATTTAACAAACATAAACTCAAGATTTTTTAACTTCGAGTTACATACACCTAACTTGAAAACGAAATACCTATTTTTCATTCAATCAATCTATTAACACTAATATAATTTGTAAAGATCTATAGTAACTAGCAAATTCAAATTGAGTCAAGATACCGACATCGAAAAGAAAGTCTCTTCCAGAGCAGAGCGAAGGACATAACAAGGGAGTTAGATTTGTGTAACCGAAGGTTAAAAAGTGAAACTTATTTATCTTTTTTACCTCACCTTTAAAGCATTATTAACCAAGAAATGGACAATTCAAATGTAAAAAATTTCAGTACCTTGCAAGGATAGGAAAGCAAATTGGCAGAGACAGATCTCCATGAAGTTATCATCTTGTCCTGAAATGTCTTCCATAGCTTTCTTCAATGGAATTCAGCCAAAGCCAACGCCTACAAGAAAGAAGCCTTAAAAGAAATCAAGGACCAACATGTATTAATAAGAATCAATAATCTCCCTCTGTTTAAACAGGTATATTACCTAAGAAGTTTCATAAGTATTTTCTAATAACTACGGATATAACTTTTGACGAAATTTTTGCCAATGCCTGCTCCCTCCTCCCTCCCCGCCCCGCGGAAGACAAAACTGCAATAGATATGAAAATACGTCTAGCCACTTTGGCTTCGTGCTTGCAATATGAAAGGATTGAAAATACAACGTTGTCGAATATCGGGTTCATACAATCCCATTTCCTTTACACCTTTGTCTCATAGTAGCCTGCTCAGAGATTTGATCAGCAATTTTAAGTTCCGTTTTGTAGCCTCATCACCAGTAAACCCAATGACATCGGAGCTTAAACTCTGCAAACATTGAGATAGAAAGGATAATAAATCAAAGAGGGAATTAGAAAGGTAAAGTAGTTATCAAGAGTAACTGTTCCAAGGGGAGGAAGAATTTGACCATTTAGGATCTCACCTCTATGTTCTTCAAAGTAAGAATTAGCGTATGAATGGACTTTTGAAGCAGTTCCGTGTTTTCGGGGGTCATAACAGATGCATGAACACTTCTGTAAAAAATTGAGAAAGTCTCAATAAGCATTCATCGTGTAAGAGAAATTCATTCTAGTTGACTATGTACAAATACGTTTGGAAATGATAGACGAATTTACTTTAGGCCTTCTCAACACGAAGACTATAATTTGGAAGCTGGATATGATATGCTAGTTTTGGTAAAGCTCTATTTGAGAGAGTAATCTTCTCATTATTATACCTTGGAAAAACTTCTTACTTCAGCTATTTGGAAATCCAAAATACATAAGAAGGTTAAAGTTTTTCTGTTAGATATTGGCGCTTGGGTAAAGTGAACACTATGGAGAAACTCCTGAAGTTCCTGTGGTGTTTTACGTAAAACAAGCCGAGATAATCAAGGATATTTGTTCTGTCCACTGATAGTGAAGGTTCTCCACAAACTTTTCAAGTTCACTCGTGCTTTCATAAAAATGTTAAATATAACATCACTCAACATTTGTGTGGATAATTGTTCAAGGAAAAGGGCAAAGTCCATTGGACAAATGCTATTTCGGTTGTTCTCTTGAAGATGTGGATGGAGAAGCATAAAAGAAAAGAGCAGGGTTTCTCTGACTCTTGGGATCTGTTAGACACTTAGCTTCGATTTGGTGTAAATTGTCAAAGGACTTGAAATTAAAGTCCCTTTTCAATTTATAAGCTATTATGGTCATTCAGAAATCAGAGCTCATCTAAATTAAAATTCCAATATCATCATCTAATTAAAATTCCAATATCAGAATTCAGGAATAGTTCACCTTAAATCTTCAGTGGCTAGAGAAAGACTTCTAGTTAAGTTTTCAACCTCCTTTAGAAGACCACTGTCACGAACCTCAGCAAGCAAAGGATGAACATCTTCAGCCATGGCTTGGATCTGAGACATCACTACATCAAATCAAAAAATTTTGCATGAGAAGATAGTTAGATCCGTGGTACTATGTGTCTAACTCACTAAAACAGACTGTCAACATACAAGAACCCAATTAATTTTAATACAAAAACTCGTAATTGATAAAATTTTTGACGATTTCCCAAATATAAATTCTTGATTGCAGTCAAAGGCGCATACCAGAATGCCGGAGCAAACACCCAGTTTCTAGCTTTAAATGTTTTAATCACATTTTCACTTAAAGTTTTTTGAGCAACAACCAATATCATACCTACTATTAAAGGTCAATCTAGAAGCCAAGGTCTGACAGGTAATCAAATTCCATGAAATTGTTGATGCACTAATACATCGTTAGTCATTATTCCTTTAATAAGATTTCCATCCTCCTCAAGAAATATGCAAGCACCCCATGGCATTAAATTACCCGCAAAATATTCAATTACTCGAATAACTAATTGTCTAGAATCCATGCAAGAAAAATAATTAAAGCATGATATCATAAGGAGTCACACCTTTAAAAGCAAAGGCTTTGCTTCTTCAATAACCAAAGCAACTCGTTGGGCTAATGAAAACGTATTGGAAAGTCCTATTTCCTCTGCTTCGCGCCCAAGCCGAGTGAATATTCCGACTAATGCATCCAAACTTACCCCTTGCTGCCCCTTCATTTTCTGCTTATCACATAATATTAAACCTTCTTTAATACATTCCGAGTCAAGTGGTCCAGCTGAAGGGACAGGAATAGGATTGCGGGGAGTAATGTCAATCATTGTCTCCATAAGAAGACCAGACTGGTTTACTTCAACCAGTGAATTAAGAGGTATGATTATTTTATCATCTTCAACCTGCAAAATGGGTGGCATGTCCCATTTTGTGTACACAAAGAAAAATGGTAAGAAAACGAACTTGTGCCCATGGGAAAAAAAAACGATGAATTCTATAGGAAGATTTCATGAACTAGATGGCACAGGGTGCAATGTCCATTCTTAAGCATTCTTAAAAACTTTGATTATAACATCCCTCTTCTTTCTTTTCTTACTTCTACACATCTTAGTCAATGGAATTTTAATCTTCGCAAGTCAAAGAGTAACCCTCTTTCTTTGGTGACTTTCAAATGATTTGCTTTTTGAAAGGCTAAAAAGTGCTTTTAGTGTCAAAAACAATTTTTGGACTAATATATATTTTCAAAATTTTCAGTGTTTGGATAGACAATAAAAATTGATTTTGAAAATTCTAAAAATGCTTAAAAGTACTGATAGAAGAAACAATTAATAGTACTTCCACCAAAAGTGCTTAGAAGAAGTGGTTTCATCTAGAAGCATTTTTTTCTAAAGCCACCTCAAACTCACCTTTAGTAAAATAGTATGTTTCACTCAAACAAATAAGGGTAAGAATTAGAAGCATACCTCAACAACAGTTTCAATACATCTCAAGGAAGGGTTAACACGGATGACATTGCCAATGGTAACTCCTCTAATTCTCACAGGGGTTCCAGTAGAGATACCACAAGCCTGAGCAAACTCAAAGACAGCCAAGTATTTTCTAAATTTAGACCGCAGTTGAAAGCCTCTCAACCACGCCAAACTGAGTGTGAGAAGTATAGCACCTGAAACTAAAAACAAGCCAACCCCACCTTCCCATATGCTCCTTTGACCGAACCCAAAATTACTCAATGGATGCAATGTTTGCCTCCATACGGTACGAGGAACATCAAGGAAAAAGGCAAGTGGATTCCTTCTTTCAGAAGATGATGGTGGCTGACTATGTCCAGCCTCAGTAGATGTAGCCTTTATTTTCTTTACTTTTGTTTTTAGACCCAACGGGAGATGATAAGGCAACCTATTTGAAGTTCTACGCGGAAGGGTAACCAACGATGGCGGTAAAGCCATAGAAAAAATTGCAACCTGCACATGTGTATCTCCCACCATTTTTGCACAACAGCAACAATAAAATAAGATAGAGAAAACTGCCTGCGGAAAACACCATATATGAAACTATCAGCAGATATAAAACAACTTCTGAAAATATTTATTCTTTTCCATTTCTAAAATGATGTAGAGCATCAACAAGTCCAATTCCAGTTCAATGATCAATAACAGCACCCATAGATCGAAGCGGGGGTCGTGATAAATGTAAAATAGTGAAATTAACTAGCTGTAACAACGGTAAAGATAGAGAAGGCAAAAATCAGATGGGCTACCAAGGAATGAAATAAAGTTCCTTTAGATAATTTAAGAATACGGTTTAACTTGATGGTAACTATATTTGAAGTGATCAAGAAAATTTTCTGCTAGAGCTAGCAACTATATCTATGTACAGTTAGTGAGAACAAGGACATGAATCCACATATCACGAGGGAAGTCATGATTAGTGGATGAATAGTGCGTCTCATAAGATACAATAAATCTATAATAGAAACAATCAAACAATCAGCTTTAATTATCTGCTGAAAAGCATACACACAGTGCCCTCAATTAAAGTAATTGGTTCTACGGTGTGAGCTCCATAAGTGAAAATATCCACCATATAATCAACTTAGAATCAAAATAAGATAAAGGACAACTTTGTAATAAACCTATGACTAACAAGAAGCATAAAAGCCCTTAAATGGAAACACTAGAATGTAATTAGGAACTTTCAGACGATCCACATTTCTCTTGGGAACTTTTCTCACCAACTCAATACTGCAGAAAGTTTGTTCCACATCCCTCCCCTATAGTCATCTGCCAAAATGTTAGCGGCTTAGTTTTATTGGTGTTTTTCTCGTTTTTTTTTCCGGAAGAGAAATGGAGATTCAACTCTCTCCCGCTTTCTGCTAACAATCAGATTAGCAGAGTTTTCAAATTCAAGAGATGGTAAAAACGGTGAATACACTAACATCAACGACGCAAGACGAAGCACAGAAATCTTTATGATACATCAATCAACAACAGGCATCCTCGTCAAATCAGCTAACTCCAGATGTAAATAGACGAATTCTCAAAAAATAAAAATGTATTCACAAAATCCAAAAAAAAAAATTCAAACGATTATCCACTGAAGAATCGATGAAAGTATACAGGATGAAATCCAGAAAATTACAGCAAATCGGAACTGATAGCAGCGATAATAGCACAAAATACGTACCTACAACTCCAGATTATTACTGTTCAGGAGATAACATCCGGTGAACAATTTCGACCAGAAACGGATTAAGAATTAGAACAAAAAAACGGTGAAAATGGGGAAGAAGAAGAACTGTTTGAAAACTACCATTTCTGAACGGTAGAAGTCCGACGAGCTTTCTCCTGGCCGAAGTTTTGACACTGTTACCATTTTAACCCTCGAAAGCTCCGACCCATTGGAGTGTACGGAGCTTCCGAATTGGGCCCATATTGGGCTTGTTTCTCTTGCTTTTTGGAAATTACCATAATTACCCTTGCCATAACTTCTTTTTAATCTCTATATACACCTAGAATTTGGTATTTTTAAAATCACTTTTGAAACCAAATATTAAAAATTAAGAACTATTTTTGATTATATGAAAATCACCTGAAACTAGCCAGATAACAGGCATGGTTGTACTAAAAAGGAAAAAAAATCACCTCACACTAAACATAAAATAAATTATATTTAAATTACCTTTACAAAATCAATTAAAAATAAATTTATTTTTCAAAAAATCACTCATTATACAATCACTCCTTAAATCAATTATAAATAAAACTATTTTTCATTATACAATCGCTCTACGTAATATCAAATTAAACAAGTTCTTGATTTATCACATCAAACATTTTCATAATATTACAAAAAAAATCAACAAAATATGAAAAATATCAATAAAACATCATTGATATAGCTTATCTAAAAATTATGAAAGGTGTATCCATTAATTTAAATATATTTTACAAATGTTTTATTTTTATAACTTTTTCATAAATATCCATCGACATGATATTTTATCGATATTTCTATTGACATCTTCATAAAATTGAGACCTTGACATTTCTATCAACATCGACAATTTAAAACCTTACCTTGCTTATCCGATAATTAAAACTAGGCTTGAACGTTCAGATTTGAAATTAATAAATAAGGGTAGTAGTGATGATAACTAGTTCCTATGAAATTACCTAAAAAACAAAAACGTTATCCATAGATTACAAGTCCCTCTTTCTCTTTTTAACCATAGATTACCTTTCAAGGGATGTGGAATATTGGTAAATACATCATCATTGCAAGTAATTAATGAAACACAATACCTACGATCCTAAACCTCGAAAACTCCCACTCATTAGATAAAGAAGATCGAGATTACGTAATCTACTACCGAACTTATTCCTTCCAATTCAACAAGCATTCTTAACATTATGCTTAATAGAATATGCTTGGAGGAGGACTTGAAAACAATAAGCAACATAATCCGAAGAATCTGGTTAGTGTTACCACCTTTACCGATCCCATGGTTGACAGATTGCATCTAGCTTGATCAGGATCAGAATATCGATGTCAGATATGGGGCAGTGAATCCAAAGCTCAGGAGTGGTGGAGCAGAGAAAAAGAGCACCGAACCTCGGAATCATTACTACTTTAACAAGATCCATCAGATGCCAAGGCCATTGCAGGCTATGTAGAAAGAGAATGTTAATCAGATCACAGCCTAATGACACCACAATAAAATGTCCTCAGCCTAATTGCATCTGAGTTACATCTTTTCTTAACCTTACCATCCCAGGAACGAAACCGTGCATCTGGAGAAAACCCGGATCGGGGTTAAGTTCATAGCAAGATAGCAAAGCACCGAAGAAATAATTCTTCTAGAAGTTGTTCAGCACCTCGAACTACAAGGCTGTCCTCCTCTTATCCAGCCTTTCTGCTTTCCCTCTTGCTGCACCAGAAAGCCACTGCATTAGCGAAGTCTATTAGTACATAATAAATGTTTGATGATTCAAAGGCACAAGTTTTTTTGTTTTAATCTTATGATGAAGATATCATATATAAATTATTCCCTTTTGAACATATTAATATGTCAGTCAATGAATTAGAAGAATAGTTACTAATGCAGCAGCTAACATTCATATAAAGAGGTAACCAAATTAGAGCACAACGGAATGTTATAGACCTTATTCTTTATTCATCATATAGTCTATTAGATAAGAGAATGGCTATTACTGTTCTAAATCCATATGATAATACAACTTCAAATAACTGAGTGAGAGCAAATAACTGAACAAGGTATGAGTGATATAGCTTTCTTAGGCATACTTTACTTTCACTCACTAAATATATATATACACATATATAACTACTTACGTGGTTTTGCCAAAAATGTTCCAAATGGACTTCCTCAAACACACCATCATCAACTGCTTCATTTCACCCAGGGTTGCGCCACCATCGCTTGTTTGATATAAGATCATTGCAGACTGCCCAAGGACCAACCGCTAACTCAGACCAACAAAATCATTTGAGAATCACAATCCCAGCATCTGTTGCAGTCTCTCTGTTCCACTGCATTTGTGTTCATGCATACAAATATGTTTCAGATTTTGTTTACTCAGATTCTAAATTAATGCAAATTGTTTAATGATAGGTCACCAATATTCAAAACCCGGCTAAGATTAAAATAAAGCATATATATAAAGTGGTATGTCAACGAACAAGTATTTTCGGTCACACACTAAAACAGAAACCATGAAATCATCATACCTCTTAGACAGAGAAGGTATTAACTCTTTACAAACTTGAATAAAATTTCCATTCCCCTTAATATGAGTTTGTTCATCTTCTGACTCTGTAAAATGAAACCAACAAACTTGGTTACTAGAATAATTTTCTACCATGGAAAATCAATGTATAATAACTATGATATGCTTTTTAACATTACTAACTTAATAGGCTCATTTATTTGCTTATCTTTTGATTTGTCAACCTAACAAGTATCTCAAACCTATTGTCACCAACGCAAGGTCCTTAAGGGTTATTTTTATATGACAAACAATTAATACTTGGGGGATTTGAATCCAACTTCAAACAAAGGCATCTATAATTTGACAACTCGTACCAGGAAGATCTTCTTCAGTTGAAGAGACGCTAGTTAGATATAAATTAGCGCACCAATCTAACTCTACACCTTCACTCTTTGCAAACTCTTCTAGCAAGCGGCCAATGACATTATAAGCAATCAAGCTAGTTTCATCACAAGCTTCTTGAATCACAAGGTACTGATTCTTAAATGTGCTTGGTTTGCTTGGCCCCATCTGAGGCATTGCACATGACATGTTGAGAGAACTTAAACAGGCTGTGGTCGCAGTATCACTACTGCTCTTATCCAACAAAATATTTGGTGTAAACTTGGAGGAAGGAGAGTCATCTCTATGATGTGTATCTTTCTGAAATTTGGATTCCATGAATGAAGGGCAGTACTTAAAAGAAGAATCTAAAGGGCACTCCCCAGTAAATGCATGACTAGGGGACAAGCCATTCCCCACTGATGAATGTTCAAGATTGGCTGGCATTGATTCCCCCATACCTTCAACATGGTGAATCATATTACTAGAGTGGGACCCATTGTCGTCTAGAGGCAAGCCATCACAATTATCGTTGTCATTATCATCAAAATCATCATCACTTTCTTCCAATTCTTCCATATATGCATCAGCAAAGTCATGTTCAAAGTCACAGTTAGGTAGTAAGTCCCAAACTACTTGTTTCATCTGAGCACTCAGACTAAACACACACTCAACCTCTTTTTCAATTTCCTCAAGCGAGAAAAATGAATTTGATGCATTTCGAGAATCTGCATTTATTATAGCCAGAGCTTTCAAGAGCGACTTTGGCACGGTGTCCATATCACTGCACTCAAAAAGATAGTCAATTAACATTTTCTTAATAGCTGTTCTTAGACACCTATTGGACACTTTAGCATCAGGATCCAACAAAGACTTTAACTGTTTGAGCTTCTGAAAGTTACCCTTCTTTCTAACAGACCATATGGCTTTTACTATTTCATTATGCAAGGTTTTTATTTGAGGTGGGAACGGATAAAACTCAATTGTGGATGAATTATGGCAACCTGGTACTAGTTTAAGTGATAAATCAGCTACCGCCATGGCTTTTGCTAGTGATTCTTGCAATTCATCTCCTTCACCATGCGATGAAAGCATCTTCATGCTAGTTTCCGTAAGAATATTAATCAGACGATCACGACCCCAACCATGCCTGTGACGTTTTATCTGAGGCATAACTCGAACTCCTTCAAGCTTTCGACGCATAGCTAAGAGACCTTGAGTGGGTAGGTCTCCTAATCTATACAGTACCTGTGATGCAGCATCATGGTAAGATGGTGAACTTGATGTCAAAGTTACTGAGCATCTTCTACGAAAATTGTTTGGGTCGTTGAGAAGTTGAGACAATTTTTTAACAACTTCCAATTGATGGCAATCTTGACTCTTCCTTCTCAGAACATTTGGAATAAATTCTCTAACGACCCTCTTCAGCTTCCAGCGAGTTTTTTCCAATTTGACAGAGTCTTGTGTAAGTATTATAGCAAGAAGGTAAAGTCCCCTGGTGCTCAGATCATCAAGACATGACAAAATGAGTTTACCAATTTTGCAAGTATCAAATATTCGATCACCTTGAATACCAGCATGCCTTGTTTCAACATTCAATGCTCCAAAAGCTTCTTCAACTCTTGTTTTGACAGTCTCATAAAAAACCTGAAAAACAGAGATTGGAAAGGATGAAATGCAGACAATGAGGTTATCATTTTCAAAATATGGATCATTATATAAATGATATTGTAAACTTAGGACTAAACCAAGAGAAGTAGAACAAGATTTAAAGTGATTTTAGGGGAAAAAAAAGGCTTTATACTGCTGCATTCAAACTTGTATAAAACAAAGTAATTGAGGGAAGGGAAAAGTGGAAAATGGAACTTACATCATCTTCCCTCAGCAAAAATTCAGGCAAGTTTCTAATAAGAGAGCAATGAATCATTTATTAGAGTACAGAGACTGATGTACAAAATTTAACAAATATGAATAATCAAATAAATCTTCACTAACCGTTTATTTAAAAAGTCCGAATGATCGGAACACTTCTGTCCAGATGTAGATGTAGGAAGCCCTAGCAGCCATCTGCACACATTTAAAAGATTCAGTTAATCCTAACGAGCCTATTTATATAATCCCCCGTTATAATGAAATACTAAAACACCATTTTCAACTACAAATGAAAGAAGGAAAAAAAAATAAAAAATTATTAGGATGATAGGCATAAACGTGGAAGTACATAGCCCGCCAAAATATTTTAGATGCATATCATGAACGTGCAAAATCTGTTTGGTCGACGTTCATTCAAACACACTGTCATAACCATCAAAATGTTATTTATCGATGCCATAGTTTAAAATCATCCATGAACACTACATTTATATGCAAAAATTTATCAAGTAAACTGAACTCAAACAGCGAATTGGTCGTCCAAATTCCAATATCAAGATTCTAAAACTTCATTACCTAGTGCGCCGATTCCTCCGCAAGTCATTACAACAGTTAGCGTCGGAAGAAGCAAAAAGAATCATATAACGATTGCAAGAAAAAACACATACCTTCTTTTATATTTCAAAAGCTCCTCTTGCCGTCGAATCTGTAAGAAAATTGCTTCAGAATCCGTCTGACAAAACTCCATCGTCGTCGCCACAGCTCGTGTCAGATAACCAGCAACCGCCGGCGATGAGGGTTTTACAGAAGAATTTGGGAAGAAGGGTTTAGCAAGCGGCGGAGAGAGAATGGTTACGTAGTGCAGCGCCTAGGAATACAAAATCCGCAAAGGAGAAGTAGAAAAAAAAAATAATAATAACAGTAATTAATATTTAATAAGCGGTTATTATCGGTTCGAGTTTTGATATACTACAGAACCGAATTGAACCGGAGACAAATCGAATTCAACCGAACCGATCGATTGGGATTTCCCGCAACAAATACTAGTGGTAATCTACTAATCTTTATCAAAATTATAAATTAAAAAAAAAACTAATAGTAGTCTATTTATTTTCTTCACTTTTATTTTTTAATTTAACAAAATAGATTGATAAATCCAAGCATCAATAAAGCACCTATTATCATTTTTTAGTCATTATTTTAACTTATTCTAACATTTTTTTAACTCAAACAAAAAAGTGGATTGCGTAGTTGATTGGATAGAGTGAGATTATATTGATAGTACTTAACATGATCAACACCTATCTTTCGATCACTATTGAGAATTTGACAGCTATTTATTTTAAAAAGGAAACATAAAAAAATATTATATTTTTTTCTTAAAAAAAATTTAGTAATGTACAGAAAGAAAAATATAAAAAAAATGTGCTCAGTGAGTATTATTGGTTAAAAAGTAAATAAATTTTATATAAAATTGAAAGAATTCGGGTTAAAAACTGAACTTAACTGAAAATATTTGATTTTTTCATTTTATAAACTGAGAAATATAATTTTTTAACACGTAATAAAATCGTGGGTTCCGTTTGTTATCTCGGTTAGTTTTTAACCCTCCGTACATATTTTAGTCAAGTCTTATCATAGGCTTTATGATTATTTTTTTAATACACCAGCATGTGTGAGTAGAGATTGGAGCCTATCAATTAAACTATGTTTATGTTTCCCACAATCTTTATTATTAGTGTTAGATACTAATTTCAATAATGAATTGGTTGTACTCATGAACTTGTTGAAAATGTTTGTCAAGGAAAAAAAAAAGAACTTGTTCAAAATGACATTGACTTATGATCAATTTTCAATCCATATTAAATTTATTCAATAGTGACTATAACTATTAATAAGACTTAATTTATGATAAAAAAAGTATAATTTAACTAAGTTATCAGACTAGTTTCTAATACAACTAAAAAGTATAGGGACAGAATTTATACAACTAGTAAAGTAGAAAGACAAAAAAATAAAAATAAAAGTAAATATGCAATGAAATATTTATGAAACTGTGATGTAAATCGAGGACGTTTCAGTCGGCAGTTTAGTTTTATAAAATATATGTAAATATAAATTTGAAAAAAAAATATTTATTTTCTAAATTACAAACATACTAAAAACAAAATAAAATTAATCATAAATATAAAATATAATTTGTGTTCAATCCATAGATTTATGAATTATGATAAATAAGGTTTTATTTCATAACCATTTTATTTTTTATTTAATATTTTTTTACAACTAAATTTATAAACACTATATTCACCATGTTTTTTTTTCATCTACATTTTAAAAACATTTTAAAGATATAAGTAAAAGTGTGAAAACTAAAAGAAAATAATTTTCAAAATATTTATTTTGTTTTTGAAATTTGGCTAATAAATTAAATATCCAGTTTTAAAAAAGTGAAAATATACGAAAGAAATTGTTAGCCAACAAACATTCGAAAATAGAATACTAAAAAATGTTAATCTTTTTAGCCAATGTTTTATTGTTTTAAAAATAATATTTGCTATCTACAACCCAACTATGATTTATTAATATAATAAGATTTTTGTATGGGGCTGTCACTTATATAAATCAACAAATGAAAAAGAAAAATAATAATGCGAGATAGTAAAATTTAGACAAGTTTTGTAAATGTTAATGTATATTACTAAATGTGAAAGCAACTTTTTGCTTTTAAATAACTCTGTTTTAACTTCTAAATATCCCTATCAATTCGAATATAACTCAATTAGTCAACAAAAATATCATCGGTTCGAATTTTTAAATCTAATGACTAAGAAAAATCTAAAAAATATAAAATTTTCTCAAATATCAGTACTAAAAAATAAAAAATAAAACAGTTTTTAAGACGGATAAGAGTTGATCTTGATTTATTTTCAACTTAGACTTCAATTGAGATTGCAAATTCGAACATCTGTCTTTTATTTGGGATTTTTAAAACTTTATTTAAAAAAAAAAGGGTCATCATCCATGAAAAGTTTCCCCATTATTTTCAAAAAAAGGAATTCTAGAAGATTTTTTTTAGCCAAATTGCTAAAATAATTCAAATATTCAAATTTACCACCAATGCATAATGTTATTTTCTTCATTTTTAAATTCTAATGTTAAAACAAAATCATGAACATAACTTGGTGATAAAGCCTGCAAAAGATCCAATCTTAAAGACACAGTATTGACAAAAATTAAATAAAAATAATATAAACTACTTCACTTTAAAGAAACCCCACAAAATCTGAACCAAACAAAAACTATATAAAGAGAGTTCCTCTCCCCTTTGTACTCATTCACCAACCTTCTTTCCATTTATTTCCTCTCCTTTCAGAGTTCTTTCTTTTCAGAAATGGCTTTATTTGCCTTCTCCAAAACAACTCTCATCCTCTCTGTAGTTCTGTTCATCAGTTGCACTTTCGCTCACGATTTCTCGATCGTGGGATACTCATCCGACCACTTGGCCTCAATGGATAAAACCATTGAGTTGTTCGAGTTGTGGATGTTGAGGCATAGTAAGACTTACCGGAGCATTGAAGAGAAGCTCCACCGGTTTGAGATATTCATCGATAATTTGAAGCATATCGATGACACAAACAAGAAGGTTTCTAGCTATTGGTTGGGGCTGAATGAGTTTGCAGACCTGAGCCATGAAGAGTTCAAGAGCAAGTATTTGGGATTGAATGTAGAGTTTCCAAGACAAAGATCAGCTAGTGGATTTCGTTACAGAGACGTGGAAGAATTGCCCGAGTCGGTCGACTGGAGAAGCAAAGGAGCTGTTACTCCAGTCAAGAACCAAGGCTCATGTGGTCTCTCTCTCTCTCTCTCATTCTCTCTCTATATGTCAACATCTCTATCTAGTTATATACACACATATATGGTAAAGGATAAAAATTTTCTAACAAAAAATATGATTGGGATGTAGGGAGCTGCTGGGCATTTTCAACAGTGGCAGCAGTAGAGGGGATAAACCAAATTGTCACAGGAAATCTAACGTCCCTATCCGAGCAAGAGTTGATTGATTGCGATCGAAGCTTTAACAATGGCTGCTATGGTGGTCTAATGGATTATGCCTTTCAATACATAATGTCAAACTCTGGACTTAGAAAGGAGGAGGACTACCCATATCTAATGGAGGAAGGAAGATGCATTAAAAAGAAGGTGAAATCTGAATACTCCCTCCCCAACCAAAAAACAGGACCATATTGCACTTTCTATCGCTTACTAAAGCATGTTACTATAATCTCTAGGAACAATTTGAGGCAGTAACCATTAGCGGTTATGAAGACGTACCTGTAAACGACGAACAGAGTCTCCTAAAAGCACTGAGTCACCAGCCTGTCAGTGTAGCCATTGAAGCTTCCGGCAGAAATTTCCAATTCTACAAAGGGGTAAGAGATTGGAGAGCATACTTGTCTTGATGAACAATGTAAATTAGATAGTTTTACTTTGACCTAACAGTGAAATCTTTGGTTTGTCTTTCAACTTCACAGGGTATATTTACAGGTCGCTGTGGAACTGAAATGGATCATGGTGTCACAGCGGTCGGGTATGGTTCTTCCGAGGGAACAGATTACATTATAGTAAAGAATTCATGGGGACCTGGATGGGGAGAAAATGGATATATTAGGATGAAGAGAAATACGGGGAAACCTGAAGGGCTTTGCGGAATCAACCAAATGGCTTCTTATCCAACCAAAAATAAGTAATCCAGTGAAGCTAATTCTCCATATTGTTTTAGAACTTTGATACTCTTCTTTTTTCCTCCATATTCCTCCTTCAACATTGATTGAGATATCTATGTAACATTTCTATTACCTTTGATCAATAAAACAACCAAATTAGAAATGGTTTGACATGAAAATAAATACACTACACTCCTCTTATGATATTGCATCTTATTACCAGAAAAGTTAAATCATCTAACATTTGAAGTACATAATACATAAAAATATATTCATATGCAGAGAGATAAGAAAAGGAAATCACTACTGCAGTATGCAAACAATTCTCCATGTTCCTTATTTTACTTTTCCTAATTTCTAATACATAAGAATACATCTCTCATGTTTCTTCATAGTTATGGAATGGAAAAGCCTAGACGAGTCCTCGAATTGTACTTGGAAGACAAATAATTAATGATAGAAAAAATTGAGGTGAGATATAAAAAAAATATATAATATCAACTAGAGACTTCATTGTACTTGAAGACACAGTCGTAGAGCCTTCCTCCGAGAAATTGTGCAACCTCCGGATGCTTGACCTGTAAATCCAGCAGAAATAATCACTAGACAATGAATAAATTATAAATCTATTTGCTGCTTAGACTAACTTTGCGAAAAAAAAACGTGGCAGGGAAGTGGAATGATTACCATGCCAATCTTTAGTGAATCGCACTTGAACTGAGCATAAAGATTTGTTTCTATTCCACGACCCTGCAAGTGTAAAATACAGGTTGGAACTTGAAAATCCCACAGCTCATCAGTCATCACCAACCTAGATTATTATCTGGAGTAATAAATTTTTTTCCCATTTGTGATTAAATCATCTATCATTTAAGTTTTTTTTTCTTTTTTAGAGAGGACTAGTTTAATTTTTAGAAGGGTTAGAGAGGTCTTGGGAATAGGTCTGGGATGTTGTTAGATTTCAATATCTTAACCTTTTGTAATTATCAACTAGGTCTTATTCTTTCGGATTGGAGTCATTTTCTACTTAATTAGCTTGTAATTGGACTCTTTTTTTTCGGCTATTTTTTTATGCTATTGTGATTGGGACTCCTTTAGAAATGTTACGCACTTGCAATCCTTTTATGATAACTGAAAGGTAAACAATATCAGAAAAATATACGGATCACAACTAATTTTGGTATCATAGCCTGACCTAATTATTCCCCCAAGGTCTCTGAAGTTTTGCTAAACAACGTCTTCGAATGTTGTCAAATAAGTTTAGAGCCGCAACAAAATAAGAATTTAACAGAAAGAAAACTAAGTTTGCTTTTTGATGAAAAAGAAAACTAGGTTTGCTGCGACATTACTATGATGCCAACATAATTTTATAATTTTAGATGCAATTCTAGTAGCACGAGGAACTGGCAAGAACTCACCATTCCTTCCAAGATAACTAGATCTGCATCAGTTGACAGGTAGCTAAGCTCTTGGGACACTTGACCAAGGTCAATAACCTTCAAGGAAAAATAAAGAATCATAACTATTGGAACATTATTTAAAAAAAAGTCCAGTTGAAATATAAAATTTAGTGCCAATGCCTTACCGGCAAATCATTGCCAGAATTGGCAACTAAAAGGTTGGAAGTATCAACTCCCTCAAGCTGTCCGCGGTCATCCTTTAGCTGATAAGTTGACAAATATCAAGAAGAGATAAATACATTGAAATCATTAATACCAAGAAAGTTTTCTTACAGCTACCTGAGCTAAAATTTCAATTAGTTCATGATAAGTTACATCATTAATAGAGGGTAAGTCATTAGCTGCTAAGACGACCTGCAGATGAAAAGAGAACAAGTTAATTATACTCAACATGGCAGCCTTTCAAGGGTGGAAAACAGAGCACTAAGTTTATGAGAGCAATCTATTTCTGAAAAAAAGTAAGCAATTGGATCTGAAAAAAGCTTTCTGGAACCATTTAAGAAACCGTTTTCGTAAAAATTTACAGTAGCTACGGTGGATTCAGATATGGAAAGATTCTGAAAAGAAAAGGAAAAGACAGTAGAGGATTTACACTAAAGAAAGTAAAAAATTAATATTAACTGCCTAGGAAACTAGAATGCTACTTAGTCTGGCATAGGAAGAGTGAATGGAAGTGTTATTGTACGTAAAACAACACCAATTTGGAGCAAGGTAAGAGTTGGGATTTCCTTCTACTCTTCTAGAGCCTCGTCCAGATAAATAGACTTTTCAGGCTGAGTCTAGAAGTTTTTAGTTCAGAAATAATTGTTTTTTACAGAGTCCAGACAGTAAACACAAAATCTATAACTCGTCTACCGCTAAACCTGAGTTCCACGACGGAGTAACTCTCTAGCAAAGGGCAAAATGCCCAAAATAATATCTGCACCGGAATTGTCAACAAATATTATGACCTGCAATAGTATAAAATAGCACGAGTTATACATTAGCTTCGACAAATAAATGAGTTTAAGATATGTGCAAGCATGAGCTTTTCATAATTAAAAATTAAAACTAGATCCCATACAGAAAATGACATTCAAAACTTACCTTCTTCCATGATTTTTTACTCCATTTGAGTTGGAATACGTCCAAATCATCAATCACCCAAGGACGAGGAACAAGATTTTGACAACTTGCCAAGAAAGACATACCATCCCTTGAGAAAACTTCAGCTAGCTTCAAGACGTGAATTGATATCACTTCAAAATAATGTTCAGAATATCCTCTCAAGTAATCAGAACCAGCTATATGTAACTTTTAAAAAATAAAGACACGCATGTCATCAAGAACCAATAAGAATCACACTATGAAAGTTTAGATTCTAGGGAAGAGTTTCTTGGCAGCAACATTTTGGTTGTGGCCTAGACAATTTGATAAGAAAGGACAAATTTTTTTTGGATGAGTTCAGGTATTGAAGCAAATTGGTGGATTCTGTTAGACAAATGAAAATGTAAATTTGTAATTACTATTATATTGTGATTCAAACCATCTTACATCACTGGCCTTGGGGAGAATATCTTATCCTCTTTTGTATACTTTGATTTGATCAATGATGTTGTGTCTCATGCCAGGGGAAACAAAAGTGAAAGTATCATCTATTCAAGTAAAATCATCAACTGACAAACATCAAGGAGTTTAATCTACAATAACTGGCAATGCCTAAACAGGAATTATGAACCAGGAAATCATAATTAAAAAAAATAAACTTAGATGATGAGATTGCACCAAATAAAAGTTAGCAAACTGTTCTACTTTGTTTAGAATAAAGTTTTAACTAAAACCATACCCAGTTAACACATGCCTCTCAGGAAAAATAGCAATCAAGTCTAAGTTAAAGTGAGGAAGAATGACTCAACCAGTGAAGACATCATATGATTACAGACATACTACAATTTATTGGCTGAAAGGATGACCCACCTGAGCAGAACCAAGATCAAAAATGTTGCCTGCAAATATTCCTCTAACCAGATTCTCCAAACGTTTACCATCATCTTCAATGGCATCATTAAGACGAACTACATCAGCAAATAAAGTTATAGCCTTTGCATTCTCTTCATCCTATTAGTCAGGAAGCAAAATACAAAGACATCAGAAGCGTGTAATCATGGCTGATGTCATATGATTCTTGAATCTCTTTTTTAATACCCCAAATCCCCTTGCTATCAATATTTGTCAGAGAAAATCGCAACAAACACTTAACTAAATAACATTTAGAAATTAGAAAAGAGAATCATGATATCATCAATATCCCAGATCGTGTGACTCTCAGAGATGTGAACCAATGGTTGAGTCCAAGGATCCTTACGTCTATATCCAGTCCTATGGGTTGATGTCTATGCTAGTCTACAAATTATTTTCTTTTCTAAAGGAAATAATTTGATATGAGAAAGTATAAACTTGCCTTCACCCTCTTGAATATATCTTTGAATCCCAATTCTCTAAGGACTTGCTCCCGAAGTCTACAGAGAAGCTACAATTTTTAACAATAAGTCAGTCCATGAAAATTAAATGAAAACCACAAGACGTAAGCCATGCATTACTTATTTCTTTATTTCAAAAATTCTAAAACATTGATAACAAAAATTGGCTTACAATGCAGTCAGGTGGCCCTCCATGACTCTCAGGGTCTTTCATGAAGTCCTCAAGTATTTCAGCATACCTTTTAACAAATTATACAAAAGCACAAAATGAGAAGTTGAGAACCATATCATCCTTTTTAAAGATGATTCCCATAACTGATACACCATAGAATCAACGTATTCTGTAGGTGCAGTGCAGCAAGGCTAATCTCGAGCTGATAAAGTAATCAAATCCAGCAGAAACTAGATTAATACTTCAAATCAAAAAAAAAAAATTAAAAAATTAAAAATTAAAAAAAAAATCCTACATACAGCCACAATAATTACTTTAACGTGTTGATATGTTTCTAGCTAGGAATATGCAAAGCGACTTTCTTAGAGAAGGAGAAGAAAGATGAAAAGATATTTGATGTAATAGCATTCAACAGAAGCTCACCTCTGAGCAAATTTTTCAGCTTTCTCTTCAGCATCTGGAACTGTGGGATCACTAGCTGCCCGCTTTCTAAAAATTTCAAAACAACATCTATGAGTTTGGGAAATTACGACCAAGTTATCAAATGCTGACAGAAATAACAAAATGGAAACTGGTAGATGAGACATCATAGCCATCAGAATCTATTTGAAAAGATCATACCATTAAGCTATAAGAGAGTGAAGAAAGTTTTTGCGCTGTCATAAAGGGGGGAAACAAAAGAAAAGAAAAATCACCAAAAAGCTGTAAATTATCGTTTCCACAAATCAACAAGAAAGACGGATGATGAATTCCTCCCGAGAAATGTACTTTCGAAATAAAACCATTATCGACGGTCACTCATCCTAAAATCTCATTTTCAGATATTATGCAATAAAAGAACAGCAATCAACAGATTAACCAGCAATCAACCGATTAACCAGCAATCAGGCCAAATCCACAGCGCTAACAATAACATAGCGATCAATCATCGACCTCCCCTTCCCCAACGCAGAAGAACACGCGATCAGAAACAAAAACAAAAACAAAAACAAAAAATTGAAAAAGGAGAGATAGAGGACGTACTTGAATGAAGGGATGACATTGAAGAAGAGGTCGATCCAGGAGAGCTCAATGGGGGTGGGCCTGCGAGGATGATCGGAAGGGAACCGGTAGGGAATGGTGCAGGCTCTGTAATTGGACTCGATCGGCGTGAGAAGCAGCGGAAACGGCACCAGCTCCGACGCGCTCTCCATCTCCGGCGACTGCGAGCTTCGCTGTGATTCGATTGGGTTTTGGTATTTTGGATTTGATTGGGTTTTTCGCTAGAAATGCACGCTCATGCAAAGTTTTATCAACGGTTTAAATCTTATTTTAGTTCATCTGAAAAATCATAATAAAAACAAAATAACTTATTTTAGTCAAACTTTCCGCTTTCTACCCTTTCGATCTTTTTAATTTTCAAAATATTCTTTTTGGTTATTAAAATTTTAAAAAAATTAATTAATTTTTCCATTCAACTTTCATAATATAAACATTTTATCCTTAAATTTGCAAAGTTAATCATTGTTATATTATTTTTTAACCTAAAATTTAGGTATCTAATACTCTATTTCAACTTATACAGATTTGGCAAATTTGAACTTTATTAACGAGAGGTAGCTGTCGGCTCGATCTGTTTTTTCTTTTTTTCTTTTTTCCAAATTTAATGCTGCTAACAATATTTTTTTTATTGTTTTCAAATTTAATACCATTAATCTCTATTTTTTAATTCAACAACACTTTACGTAGGAATTCAAACCTCCGACTTTTTATGGTATTAATGGTAAAAGGTCATTACATTATCGTCAACACATACATAGTTCAACGTACATGATATCTACTCGTTTCCAACTTAAACAAAAAAAAAATGATGTCGTAGAAGAAAATTATAACAAAAAAAAACTAAGAAAACTAAGAATGATATTAATTGATCTATACATGGTACAAAATAAATGAATAAAATCTATCGTATGTTTTTCAAAATTTGTTTATGTCAAAATTTATTAACACTAAGTGTCAGCGAACTTAAACCTAATTTAGTAATAAATCACATTTAATTCTTCCATCGAGGTTGGAGATTTAAATCTTTATGTTATACTAAAAAAATACTTTGCATCCCTCATCTCTTTCGAGTGTTTTTATATTAATATATCATGTCCGCTCCTTCAAAATAGTGTTTTTTTTTCTAAACACAAATTTGTAGTACATTTTTTCCTTTTTGGAGACCCATTGAAGAGAGAACAACAAGCAAAAAAACAAAAAAGCAAGAAAAAAAAAACAAAAACAAAAAACCTTTGAAAAGTTTGAAACTTCCTAGGAGTCAATACATCCAATTAAAAAACAACTCAACAGTTAAAACATCAAAAACCTTTTCAAGAGATATATATATATATAACATCTAACATATACATTTAATTCCTATTTACTTTATTGAAATCCCAAGAACAAAATTTTCCAAATAAATACATACATTTAATTCTCAAATATTAATTATACTAATTATCCAAACACAAATATTTATTATATTAAGACATTCAACTCTCTAGTTTTCAACTCCGAGATATTTAACCTCTAGAGATTAGACCCGAACAAAACCCACGATCCAAACAGGCTGTAAAGAGAGAACTAGAAATGACTCGCCTACATGGCACACTTGCAAAGTAGCACGGAATCCTAAAACATGACACATAAAGGAAAAAGCCACAACAATTACATCAAAGTTACAAGTAAAATTTAACAAAGTGGCAAATAATGTCAAGATTTCACAAAGTGGCAACTTTTGAGAAACATAAGAAATATGATATGCAAAACAAAGCAAAGATTTGCAAATGAAATCTAAAGACAAGGGGGTGGGATTTGGGTGCCAATATATTTGGCTCTAACATACTTGCAAGTGGAAGAAGAGGGGTGGTTGTGGCCTGATGACAGAACCAAATGAACATTTTCAAGCTTCACATTCTGACATGGGAATCCCTTGCTGCATTCTAAAGCCACAGCCACCTTGGAGGAAGAGGTCCCTCTTATGTTCTTGAAATAAATGTTTCTCAGCTTCACTAGAGATGGTGCCTGCCCAAACAAATCAACCCCATCTCAGAAAAAATTGCACTCATTTTTGGCAATGAGTTTCAAATCTGTCTCAAAAATGGTCTTCTTGGGTTTAGTTCTTGTTCTTCCAAGTTTATTACACTTTGGTCTCCTAAACTTGCTTGTAATTACAGTCTCTTGGGAAAGATTGGAGAGCTTTTCTCGCTTAGCTCTCTTTTAGTTCTCTTTTCAGGAGGGGGTTATCTCATTCTCGTCCTTAGGCTGTTTCTTTTGGTCTTCTTTCAATGAAGTTTTTCTTGTCCCAAGAAAAAACAATAAAATAAATTAAGTAACTACTTTGGTTCTTAGTTTTATTTTGCTTTTTAACTAGTAGATAAGGTAGCTTTAAGCATGTGTATTAGCATGCAACTGTAAGCATACATTTGAGTCATATAAGTTGGTTGAGAGGAGTATTGGGCAACATTTATGCCCCAAAATGATTATTTTTTGAAAATTCGGGACCAAAATGGTTGTTTTTGTATAAGTTCAAAATTAAAATAGATATGAAAGTTCAAGAACTAAAATAAAACGAACTTTAAGTATTTAGACCTAAAAGATATTATACTAATCTTGCAGAACTCTACAATCATTTTTCAAAATTTAATATTAAGAGAGCACTGACTTACCTTAAAAGAGCAGGATCTGAAAGGACAATATGATTGATCAATGATAATTGGATTGGACACATTGTTCATGGTAATGTTCTTAAATGTCATGTTTGTGGCTAAGCTGCTACCAGGAGAGTTTGGGCTTGTCTTGATTCTGATCCCATTTGTGGTTCCTGTAAGGCTGCAATCTTTAACGACTAATCTGCTAACATCTCCTTCGTTTTGATATCTTCCCAAGCTCCCAACGCTGAAACGAGCAGCAGACATGTGATCCAGAATGCGGTTTTAGCTGCTGAATGCAAGTTAAAGGGGACAGAAGATGATGTACCTGATCCCATGGCCAGGTCCACAGTTGATGCTGGTGATTGTGACATGGGAATTCCCCTGTCCGATGGATATGCAGTCATCACCAGTTCGGATGTGTGATCGATAAAGATGGATGTTAGAGCTTCGGTCGATGTGGATGCCATCAGTGTTGGGACTATTTGCTGGAGCTGAAATCATGAGTTTGCTACCTTTGAACCTCTTGCAGTGTACTAAAGCTAGGTGAAAGAACTTGCTGTTCACCGAAGATATGTGTCGGACGACAGTGTTATTCATCGCCACAAATTTCAAGTTCTGAAAGAGAAATGATTCACTGTAAGAATCTTACTGATGTTTCAAATAGCATCAAGATAACAGTTCTTACAATTCCTAATGTTTCAAGACAAGAGTTTAAAATGATTCATTGTAATAATCTTACCAGTGATTCAAAATGGCATCAAAGAAAATAGTTCTTGCAGTTCCTAATATTTCAAGACATGAGTTTACAATAATTCGTTGTAACAATCTTACAAATTCTTCAAAAGGCAACAAAGAGAACAGTTCTTGCAATTCCTAATGTTTCAAGTGAAATGATCCATTGTAAGAATCTTACTGATCATGTTTCAAATGGTAGCAATAGAACAGTTCTAGCACTTCATAATGTAACAAATTTGAAACAATTCATTGTAAGAATCTTTCTGATGTTTATAGTGGCAGCAAGCAATAGAACGGTTTGTTTTCTAATGTTTCAAGATATGAGTTTGAAATGATTCATTACCAATGCTTCAAAATGGAAACAAATAGAACAGTTCTTGCAATTCCTAATGTTGAGTTTGTGAAAAATCAGTAGGGAAAAAAACGTGGTAAGGAATTTACAGTAGGAAGAAGTCTGCAATTGTAGTCATTGAGGCAGTTATTGAATGGCCATGCTTCAGCACCTCGGCCGTCGAAAGTTCCACCTCCGGTCAAGATTAACCCCTCCATCCATCTGAACTCAATCCAGCCTGCACCAGAGTCATACTTTGACAGGTCTGTTGAGGCCTTCAAATAGCCCTGCAAAAGGAAACTCGAGCTCGGAGTCGAACAAATTCTATGAAAAAGTTTTTAAGGAAAATCGAAGATTAGACCCTTGCCTTCATTTTAACAGTTAGAGATGAAACATTCCTGCAAGGCCCTGAAAATTTTACTGGACCAACCAAATATGTCCCTTTTGGAACCAGAAGCGTTACCACTCCACTGGAACCACAAGCCCTTTTCCATGCTGCTACAAAGGCCTGAATCACAGACAACCATGAAAACTTTGTAAAGGTCATTTTAATCTTTTCACCCATCTAATGTTATGTTTGGGAGGATTCCAAAAAAACACTTCCTACTCAAAATCATCATATTTGAAAGTGATTTGTAAGTGCTTTTTAAATAAATAAATAAATAATCTAAGTAGACTACTTCTTACCTAAGTGATTGTTAGGAAAGCATCTAAAAGTACTTTTAGGAGTATAGAACTAACAATCAAACTAAATTGTCATTAAGCACAATTTACTAAATGCTTATATGAAAGTACTTTTGCTCTTCTTTTCTTTTTGACATAGAGCACTTTTTGCTAAAATGACTTTAAAAGCACTCCCAAATATGTACCAAAACTCATCATTTGAAACCAAACTGAATTTTTATATCCAGTAAGCAAGAAATTGGACTAAGTGACAGAGTTATTCTCAATGGACGATTCTAAATATAAGAAAAAAAACAATAGAAAACAACAGACAGACTAATGAAATCCTTAGGAACAATATAATGAAATTAACCAAGTTGTCCTATCTCGTGAGCTAGAGAAAGAACACAAAAAAAAAAAGAAGAAGAAAACAGAACATTTCAGTAGCGATGAAACATGGCTTTTGGGGTTCAAATAATCAAATAAAAGCTGAAATCACTTTCAAAAGAACCAAAATAAACAGACATTGCTATCATCTGTTAATCCATTTGCTCGAGCACCGAAGCTTCTGACACTGAAAACACGAGAGCTCTTTGTTCTGCCATGTAATAAGCTTCCACCTCGTAACTGAGCACCTAAAATGTCCGCTCCCGAAATTTCTCTGCTAAGAACTGAGCTAAAACAGAAAAACGAGAGCACCAAGAACAATGTGATGTGAAAGGGGAAAATCATGTTAATAGCTTAACAAGCTTTGGTTTCTGCTCGGTGAATTCGAAATAGGAAGATAATTTTTCAACTCACCAGTTCATAGAGAGAGGAGAATATCGGTTTAAATTTGCAACCGAAAATGCTGAGAAAATTGGGGGATTTTAAATTCGCCATTGTTAACTGTCGTTAACTCCCTCCCCCCACTATGCATCTGCTTGTTAACCGTCGCACATACGGAAAAGACAAAGACAAATAGATCGCCGCCCATCGCGGCGGCAGGAAGCTCGTCGGACCGGAGATCTCTGACCGCCGGACCGGCGCAGCTGCAATTGAGAGGGGATTTAGTCGAAAGAACTACAGAGAGTAGCGCGTCCCTGCGCGCGCTACATTGATGCTGCTTGTTGATCATGCAAATGCAAATGGGATATATATATATATATATATAAACTTAAAAATTCAAATATAAAATATATTTTTTTTGTTAGATACCTTCATTTAGTCCGCAATTTAATTTGCAACAATTTAGCCGTATAATTTTAGATGGATAAAGATTCAGCGGAAGATATATGRTAATTAGTGTTGAGCTATGTTGGCTTTAACAACAAAAAGTATTTTTAGAGAACATAATATAAATTAGAATAGAAGTACCTCTCCGTCAAATATGATGATAATAATAATAATAAACCTCCCCAAATGTACAAACAAGGTTATGAACTCAAGATTGGGTGTCACTATCGTTGTATCTTCTTGAAATATTTTATCAAGAGAATCGCGAATCGTATATGTTATTCGAGCACTTGAAGTTTTTACTCAATTATATTAATCTATCATCATTTTGTTCCTATTAAAATATTTGCTAGCAACCACAAGTGGATTTTCAAAAGGAGCTAGAGGAGGCACATGTCCCCTAAAATTTATAAATATTATTTATCGTACACAATGAAGTAGAAAATAATATTTGACTTCTTACTTTGCCTACCGACACTACTAGTCATGAGTTTGAATCTTAGTGCTTACAAGTATTCTTTTAAAATTATATGTTTGCCAAAAAATCAATATTTTTAATAAAAAATGAATTTAATTATTTTTCATTTGATACAACCGTTTGGATGTTATATTTTATAATTCAATGGACATATATGATAATAATTTTTGAACAAAATTCCAAACAAAAATCTACTATTAAGTAAAATTATTACACTTTTCTAAGTTTAAAGGGAAGATGGTAACACTTATCTCATTTTGAGGTGTAATTTAATGAATTCAAAAGTTTATGGTAAAACTTATACACCTTGACAAGTTGAGAGTACCAAGGGAAACCCTGTCTTTTGAGGGAGTCAGACTCAAGATTTCAAACTGCTTCTAGCCAATATTGACCATTAATTCAATTAAGAAATACTATAACGAGTGAGGTGAGAGAGAAGGTATTTCATAATTGAGGTTTGATATTGAGCGAGACAAAACTTTTCATAAAAATATATTTAGCTACTTACCATTGTAATTGTAATTCTGACCCTTTAGTTACCAACATTAACTCCGTTGCGGTTCTATTTTATGTTTCTCATTTTCAATTTTTGAAAAATATAAATATTTATTGTTTATCATTTTTCATTTTTTAAAGAAATGTTTCTAAAATTATGTAAAAAATTAAAAAGCTCCTTATTTCTAATTTCTAGTTTCTTTCCAAAACGATATAAAAATATCATTTGATCAACTTTGACTTATAAAATGCATAATAAATATAAACAAATAAATATAGCATAAAATTTTTAAATAGTTTATTTGAAATTTTGATTTTTAAATAAAACTTTGACTTTTCTTCCCTAAACGTTAAACGTGGTCTTGTTTATTTTAAAAAAAAAAACAGTTACTAAACGTAATTCTATTTTTCTTCCTTGAAAACATGAATGTCACCAAATAGGTTTTTAGTAATCCTCTTGGACGTATGGATGTATGCCAGCATCGTTTACGAATGATGTGAGGTCTAATATGATTAAAGAATTCTTTAGGAAGAAAAATTTGTGTGAACAGAGAGGGAGAATCAATCATTCATAAAATAAATGGAATAAAGCTCTAGAAGAAAAAAAAAAGGCTGCTAGCATCATGATAATGTAACAAATAATTACCTACATGTACATCTTAGAAGCTTTCAAGACTAATGATTTTGCTTTGAAAAAAATAGGAATGAACAAGAAGCTACCTTTTTTTGTCCCCTTTTTTACTATCATATCATTATGTCAGCCTCATTTTTTGGCCTTTGCAAACCTGAGGCATCGGTACTTCTCACCACTCACAGTAATTTCAAGAGCTCCATCTTGATTGTCTTGATTTGATGCAGTTCCCATTAGTACACTTTTCTCCTTTTCCAGATTTTCCTTCTCCATCTTCAACCTTGCTTCTTGACGTGCAATCTCTGCCTGAATGGAGAAGAAGAAGATCAAAATCCAAAACATGATGAGAAGGCATCTTTGGTTTTACTATTTTTGATAATTGGGAGTCGGAGTTTTGCTCCACTATACCTAGGGGCATCCACCCCTGCCTCAGACTCGGAAGACATGAAGGATTTTTGGTATTACTTGGTATTAAACTAATCGAAAGGTTCGAACTTGAGACCTCTAAGTCAGTATGACCCAGAGATCCCAAGCCTTTGCCGACCAAGTGGTCTCTTGGGACTTTGGTTTTACTATTATCAACATCATTATTATTTTTCACTTTGGCCTTGAAGCATGGAGTGAACTAATGGATGCATAGAAAATGGTGAAAATCATAATGAATATTACAATATGTAAAGGAAATATTCTAGCTCAATTCACTTAAGTAAGCATTGAGATCTTGTATGCACCTTGACTAATCTCGTGGGGCAATAACTTAACCCTGCTATATTTAGTTATTAAATCTTTAGTAGGTGGCTAGCATAGAAAAAAATTCTTTCACCAATTATTGTCTACTCAATGCAAGTAGTATGTTGGGTAACTTCGAGTTTCTATGCAACTAACTCATTTGATTTAAGGGCAATATAATATATGTGGAAGTTGCTAATTCACTTGTCTGGCTACAGTCGAATTTACTATGCTCTGCATCTGATGCACCGTTAAAACTGATGGGAGTTTTTGACTCAATAGTTAGACTAAATAACTTGAACTTAAAGAACTTGAGTCCATATATGAATTTACTTGTCCCTGGCTATAGATTTGTTAATTTTACTGGCTACATAATCCTAAGCCTTACTACACACGTTTTGTATACAGCATACCAATTTCTACTGATCATAAACTTACAAGCCAAACCCATGATTCTATTACCCACTCCTCTGCAAAAACTTAAACTTCGCGTCCATAAACACATTTCACTAAAACCATTCTTCCTATATCTGGAGGAAAATATGAAAACAATGGACAAGGGAAAATGACATCCTGCAATTGATGCAGCAATGGCTAGTGAAGTCCAGAAAACAAGCATTTTACAACCTATAAGATACGAGACACAGAGCGGGAGAAGAAATAAAGATGATGTAATGGTTAATTACTAGAAATAGACGACGTGAGCTCTTTATCTTATTTTTTAACTGAAAAGTCTCACAAACACACCACAATAAGACTACTTTACAACTTAATTGTGAAAGCACCACCAATAATTCTGCCTAATAATTAAGCTGAGAATAAAGCCCAGAAGTACTAATTATGAAATGACAAAATTGATAGCAGAAGTTTCCATTTTCTTCAACACCACAGAGTGAAAGCAGTTAAAAGCATGAAAAAGAGAAATCAAATAGACTGAGCACTTTTCTTAATACTAATGCTTAGTGTGAGAAAATTAGGACAGAAATGAGCATGTATCCATGGAAACTCGCCAGTAAAATCTTCGATTCAGCCCAAAAAACAAAAAGATATACAGAAACAAACTAATTTGACGAGAGAGAGAGGGAATTCAACCAAGTACCTCACGACGTGAGAGCTCGGCCTTCCAAGCAGCTTCCCGCTCAGCGACCTCGCGTTCACGCTCTTCGATGTAACTCTGCATCTCTCTCTCCTTCATGATTCGGTCCTGAATGTCCGCATCCAAGGCTTCCTTCAGCTCCTCCACGAATTTATCCACCACCGCCTTTATTCTCAGAGACATCGCCAATTTCCGCCAGTTGCACCTCGGAAAACTCTGCAAATTCAACCGGAACAACCTCTCCTCTCAGAGAATCTCAGCGTCTGGTTAGGTTTCGGCAAGTGAAGGAATCGAGGAAGAAGACATGGCGGAAGACGGAGGATGGCGCTTTCCACAGAGGAGAGAGAGAGAGAGAGAGAGAGAGATTAGAGAGAGAAAAAGGAACGAATAAGTGGACACAGGCTTGGCCCTTCTCACTTCTTATTGGGCCCGGTTTCTTTGTGGCCACCCTTTTCCTCTAGTGGACCCAAAACGGTGCGTTTCGCTGTGCACGATTCTGCGTCAAGCCAATTTTTCAACGCTAATATTAAAGAGAATAAAAATTAATTAATATATATTGTTTATTATAGGTGTTTCAAAAGTTGTGGGAAGTAGGTATCTCGCTTTATTGGGCATTTGTGATTTATTTTCTTAGTCACATCAATCTTAAATTAATATATAGTCTTGATTTTAGATGTGTATATATTAATATGATGATGTCCAGACGTTTGAAAATTTTAATTTAACACGAGAAAGATAAATACATATATGTCATTTGGATTCTCTCTATTATTTTTAGATTCATTGATTTTATCGATTCAAGGAATATTATTCACATTTTAAAATTATTTTTTTTATTATATGATCTAAATAATAGAAATTGTGAAGATAATATTAGTATCGTTTAGAATTTAAAATTAAAATTTAAAAATGAATTACTACATTAGCAACTAAAATTTTGGATAAATATATCATTTGTATTATAAATTTATTTCATTTTGTAAATATTAAAACAGATAATATATAAATATAAATTCACAACCTCTTGGGTGGAGGTATATGCCAATTACCGAGCTATGCTCGCTTTGACAAAAAAAACAGATAATATATTATGAATAATATAATATTTTAAAATGATAATTATATATGTGACATTCGTGCTAATAACTTAATTAGTGATATCTAGATTAAAATAACTATTTTATTTTTTAGTACCAGAGGATTGGAACCATAATTTTGAATAGATATCTTAATCAATTGAGCTATGATTTAAGTAAATATTAGTTGATAACTCCTGCTATTTTATGAATATGTTAATAAACACACTTTTAATATATTTTTAAAATGATAGTCAATTTTTAACTTTGTTACCAAACATATACTTAGGAAATAATACACCAACTATTTATTACGAAACTAAATATCTAATTTTTATATTTATATTTTCATATCACCAGTTAAAAAGAGCTTTCAAAAGTTTCCCCACTACTTAATATGGAACTAAATCCCAATTATATCTCCAATCCCTCCTTTTTATTATCTGCAAACAATTTATGTAAATGTATAATTATTTCTTCTACATTTGGAAACAAAATAAATAATTATGGGAAGATGTGATGAACTTATTTTGCTAGCCATATTTTCCAATTTATTAAATTTGTTAATATATTTTTTCAAGTCATTATCCTTTTGTCTGACAGTATTTGCATAATATTCATATTACCATTCAAATGTATGTTTATTTATTTACTCTCTCCTTTCACTATTTAGCTATCTACCCAAATATTTTCTATTGAAATTTAAGTAAGTAATACGTGGGTAGGCATTAAATCTCAACTTCAAATAAAATAATTTGTACTTTATTCAATTGAGTTGTGTTCGGATTGACAGCTATATCTATTTAGTCGTCATATTTCAATTTTTGTGTCTAATRAATCGTACATTTAAATCCAACCCTTTAAGGATTACTAAATACACGAGTTGTATGATTAACTTTGATGCAGTAAATTTAATGTGTTAGCGTGAGATAAAATTCATACAAAATGATCAATTTTTAGCAGGTTTAGACATTGTGTGGGTGGAAAAAGTGGCAAATTCAACTCATTCAAAGCGAATTCAATGCATAGTCTTTAAATACTATACACAAGTCAGCATAACACATAAGTATTAAATTGAGAAAATTAATGACATAAATATATGAAACATAAAAAATTTTATACTTATTATAAACTCGTGGGAAGACTAAATGGATATAATATTGAAATTTTAAATACCTATAAAAACTTTGAAAATACATGAAACTTTGAATATACCTATTGACACATTTTTTAAAGTTCAGAATCTGGTAATTTAACAAAATAAAAAGGTCAATCAAACTTCGATTTAAAGTGTAAGTGATTATGTCTCATCAGGAGGGAGTATAAATATATATATATTTATATATATATATTTATTTATTTATATATTTTGACATTTAACATTAGAAAGTTTAATTAGATAATGTACACAATATCTATTTAATCTTCGCCATGTTTGTTTTAAATTTTACGTCATGTTTGTTTTAAATTTTAATTCCAACAATATCATTATTTTTTTAATACAATAAATACAAAAGATAATTAGTATCTTCTATTTATAAAATTATAAAATTTCAAAATATCATTCTATTAAAATATATAAACTATATTAAAAAAGTAAAAAAACAAACTGTTCAATTCAAATTCTCACTTTCACAAATTTTTAAACTAAAAAAGTTTTCAAAATATTAAAGATTAAAAAATAATAATAAGTACATAGATTTACATACATTATTAATTTGAGTGGAAGCAAGTACATATTTTTTTTTTTGGAAAAAGGAAAAGAAAACGATATTAATTAAGAATCTTGCTCAATGGCATTTCAGTAATTTCGCTAAAGTAAGAGGGCAAAATAAATCCCCCTCCTTCAAACTTCCACCCTCCAAAAATTCTCCCTGAAATCCCTACATTCAAGATCCCTTCCTCCCAAAGAAAACTCAAAAAACTCTCCCCCTTCGTCTCTTCACTCGCTCAAGCGGTTGATTTTCCGATTACTTTTCCGATCGAGATACCAGAGCTCCGGCGCCGCTGAAAATGGAGGACTGCCTCAGGGAGTCCATGAGGAAATTAGCGGTGTGGTACACCAAAACCTTCAAGCCAATCATGACGCACGAGGAGCTCGAGCCTATTATGGCGACCTTAGGTTTCGTCGGCCTCGAACCGGCGGTCAACGGAGCCGGAATCTCCTGGAAATCGTACAAATACTCCGCCGCCGATTGCCGGAGCAAGTCGGTTGCCTTGGCGGCGGAGGCTCCGCCGACGCCGCGACTGCCGCATCCGAGGATCGACGGACTTCACATATACACATACAGAGCGTTTCTTGATGCCGTCAATTTCTACCTCGAGAAATTTGATATCTCCGATCTCTTCCACATTAGGTAACAATGTCGTAACTCCTTTTAATTTCGCTTTTTCTCTGGACCTCTCTGTGCTTTCCCTGTTTGTTCGTCTGCTCTTCGCCTTTTCCTTTTTCGTTGTTTTCTGTATCTTTTCGTCGTTTGATTTGATCGATTCGCCCACCGTCTTTTCGTATCTTTTCGAAAGAATTTCTAACACTAATTTTAGGAGATTTTGTTTTGAAAAAATCATGGTTGACTACTGGTTTTAGGTAGAAACTGAAGTGAAGAATAAGAAGCAATTCGAAAATTCCTGATTCAGTTTTGCATTCTTTTTTTCTCGATGAATTTGAAATAAATGGAAATGTAAACTTGGTTTCGCCTCTGATGATTGACAGCTTATTTTTCACGAATTGTCAGATATATTGACATTAAATACAATTTACTTTCTTATCGATAAGAGGGAATTTTGATTCTTTTTTTTTTCTTTTTTGTTTGAAAAAAAACACTTGATTCTTCTTAATTGATTTTTCGACAAATTGATATTGTTAATTATTTGGTTTGTATATTTATTTTAATAGAGAAAATAAAATTTAATTATATCATTATATGTCAAAAAATTATTTTGTATTCCATAAATGGTCAGGCTATTAAGGTCCACCCTTTTCTCTCAAATAGGAAAAGTCAATTTAGGACAATGATTTTTTCTTTCCTATAAAAATTTTTCAAATTCATTATATATTGTAAAATTATTTCAAATTGATTTATGCTTAAATTTATGGTAGTAACCTTATTAAACTATTTTATAAATTATGTATAACATATCAAGTTACTTTGAGACATTTGATTTGATGTTTCATGAAAAAGAATAAGAGAAATAAAGTCCTGTTTGCCAATTCTTTTTTTAATTTTTAGTTTTGGTTCTTTTTCCTTTGTTTATTATTATTATTTATATATATATATATATAGTTAAATTAATACTAGTTTGTAGATGATGTAGATTTGATTTTGAAAGTTGGTGCATAATTTAATTGGTTAAAAAATATATCTAGACTTTGAATTTCCATTCAAGAAGATTTCGAAAGAGAAAAGTTGTTTTATTTTATTTGAAAGAATCTGAAAGAAAAAATGATTTTGAAAAATACAATAAAGAAAAAGAAACAAAAATATTACTTAAAATGATTATTTGAATGTTTGTTTTAATTTAGTCTCATGATTTTTTTTAACAAATTTCTACATCACCTATTTTTATATCTCATGATTTTTTTTAACAAATTTCTACATCACCTATTTTTATATCTCAAGTGTGATAAAAGAAAAATAAGCTTTATTTAACCAATTAGATCAGATTATCGATCATGTTTTCACAACTGAAAAGGAAACAATATTTGTTAAAAGAAAAACAACTCTTTTGAGTTCTCCAATATTAGTTAAAATTTAACATATATTTTCTATATCTATTATTATATTCCCTAGAATCAATAGTATAATATATATATATATATATATATATATATATTTCATTTTTTTAATTTTGAAAAACCACAATTTATTAATCTTTTTTATAATTATATTTAACTATTGGGCAGCACGAAACTCCACGCCTGCATGTAAATGTAATGCAGGCAATTTACTGTAATTTTCACATGCAAGTTGCATTTATCACCTAACACATGATCAAAAAAAAAAAAAAATTAAATATCTATTTGGTCAATTATTTTTTTAGGTTAAACAATATTGTACTTTTATTGATTTAGTCTCTATACTTTTAAATGGGTAACAATTTAATCACTCAATATTAATATAACACAAACACACTTCAGTCTATGTATTTTAAAAATAGTAATAATTTATTCAATATTGTAAAGTTTAGGGACTAAATTGTTAGAATGTTAAAGTTTACAAACTAAATTGTTACCCATTTAAAACTACATAAGTATTAAGGGACAAAAAAGTATTTTTAACCCATAAACTTTTAAAATTTTAATTTGAATTTTGAACTTTCATAATTTGATATTTCAACATTTAAATAGTTTGAGTTTTAGCTTCATTAAATTAGATGGCTGTGTAGACATGAAACGTGGATAATAATTGAGGTTTACACCCTTTTTTTTTTTAATTTATAAATTATGCAATGATTCTACGGACCACATGTAGAATTTAAATGAAATGTAGAACACGAAATTTGAGATTTTAAAGGTAAGGATTAGAGTTAGTGGGTGAAATTATAATAATTGAAATTTAATTTTCAAAAGCGTATGAACCAAAATTAAAGAACTAATTTTCAATTTACGGATAAAATCTACACTTAACTATAAAAGATATTGTGCCTGAAAAATATTATGCTAATTAATCTAACTGTTAGTTTTTTTTAATTTAAATAAAATTATGTTATTTATGTTAAATTGTATTTAAATGTTTTTTTTTTTTGGCATTTTTGTAAGTGCCGCTATAATTTATAGGAAAAAGGGAAACGAGGAGCCGAATAATGATGCATTGGTATTGGAACTTTATTTTTCAGTGAAAATAAAATAAAATAAACCCACTGTCTATGTCGAAGGCTTTAATCATCTTTCTGGATAAAAAAACCATTTTTTTATTAATTAAATTCTAGGTAGAGACTATCTATAAATCTGTTGAAGCTTTTCAGTTGAGTCATTGCAATATTTTATGAGTTCTTATAGTCCTAGTCAATTAAAATTTGTTTGTTATTATTTTTTTAGTGTTTTTTCAGATCTCTATTTAAATTGTTGAAAATTTTGCTATTTTCATTCGGTTTCTGTATGTTAAATTTGCTGGGTGTTCATATAGAATTATTAGTACATTTTTTAAGTAAAACTTGAATTCGAATGTTTTATATTCTTGAATTAGTATGAAAAAGAAATAATTGAAAACATGAGAATGAAATATTTCTTATAAAATAGTGTATAAAATTATATAAAAAACTAATTTTAAAAATGTCAATCCACTAAATAATTTTAGAAAATACACTTGAACATGAGCTCAATCTAATTTAAAAAGAAAACTGAATGCAAAGAATCCTAATATTTTTCTCTTGCTTAATATTGTTATCATCTTTTTTTTTTTTGTTTTATTTTGTATTAAGCTTTCAAAAAAATATTCAAGAAATAAAGTAACGTTAATCTTGATGTACAAAGTGCCACTACATGTAAAGAAAGTTACAAATTAAATATTATTTTAGTTCCTGTATTTAGTTTTATCATTTTAGTCCATTTACTACCAAAAAGTCCGATTTTGTTCTTATACTTTTTTAAAGTGACAAATTTTATTCCAATTGTAAAATTTTAACATAAATTTTATACAAAATGAAAACTACTTAATAAAAATTTACGAGTACATTTTAAGAAATTTGGGCTTTGTTTGATAATTTTTTTTAATTAAACTTCTAAATATTACTTTTACCATGTATTTCTTTGTTTTGCATTTTGCATTTGCTTTTTGAAAAGCCAAATTTTGAAAACTTAAAAAAAAAATTTTTTTTTTTTAAATTTGACCAAGAGTTTAAACGTGATTTAAAAGTAAAAATATACCAAAAATTGTGATCAAACAAGCATAATTTTTCAAAATAAAAAAACGAAAAAACAAAACAGTTATCAAACTAGATCTTAGTGATCGAAATGTCGTGTTGAAATTATGATAAATGAAGGACCGAAACAGTCACTTTTCAGAAGTACATGAATCAAAATAAATGTTTCGAAAGTTGATGGACTAAAATAGTATTTAAAGCATCTAAATAGTGGTTACAAAGATAGAATACATACATATATTTGTTGTTTATTTTGTAGAGGACTGCCATTGTACCGAAACCAGGATCGAAACAGGAAGTGGCGACGAATGGACGAAGAAGGGGGTAATTTTGTATACAGAGAAGGGACTCTTGATCAAACAACACTCAACTCCTACAACTTTCACAAGAACAATTGGCACAGCAATAGCAATAACAATAACAAGAAGAGCAGCAAGAACAAGCAAGAACAACAAGATCACAACAGAAATATGATTGAAGACAATACAGAAGAAGACATCATCTGCATTGTTAGTTTGAAAGATATTATAACCTAACTTAAACTTCTTTCCCCACAGACACCTATTCTTTAATTATTTTTATGTCATATCTTATGAACAGCAATTTTGGTATGAATTTTGGAAGACTTAAAGAGATCAGAATAGTCAAACAGTGAATATGAAATTTTCACTCCTACCGTTGATTAGAAATTAGGGTAGGAAATGGGAAGGCAATCTTCTGGATTTTGAAATTATTATTTTTATGTAGTAGAAATATATATAGCAAGAAGAAGTCATATTTGTATGTTTTTTTTTTGGTTAAATTATTTGTTTTATTCCTATGGTTTCCTGAGTTTTAATTTAATTTTTATGATTCGAGCTTAGTTTTAATTTGGTCCCGGTGGTTAAACTCTACCAATACATATTTTCTTTTATTTTTTTACTTGATCCTAAATCTTTATAATAGAACACACTTGTTCATTTCCAATTGATAGTAGATCAAACTATAAGAATCAAATTTTAACTTTTATAATTGTAAAAACCACATTGAAAGTAATCCAAACCATATAGATCAAGTTAGTTTCTGATTATGATTTCAAAAAATGTATAGTAAATTATATGACAGATCGCTTTTATTCTAATTGATTTCTTTTTGATTCCTAGTACTTAAATGAAACTTAAATGGTCTTTTTTCTGAATGTTTGACCCCAACTATTCTCACATAACAATCGTTTTGTCCTACTATACATAACAATTGTTTTGTCCTACTATATTTTGGTTACAGTATTATTTTTGTGTTTTCGCATTTTGAAATCTCCAGTTATTTTTTACAAGAGAAGGAAAAAAAAAATCGTTATATTTATAGTAATTTTTTAACTGTTATAAAGGTTTTTCAAAAACAAGAAAAGAAAGAAATATCTTCAGATGTCAAACAAATTTCCAGGGACAAAAAAAGCAGCCTACAAAGCAGAAAATTAACCAAGTCGATAAAAAGAAAAAAAAAAGTTATATTTTTGGTGGATTTGAGTATAAGTTTATTGTTATATTTTAAAATGCATACTATTATTTATCATTTATGTAAATGGCTCAAAAGAAATAAAAGATTTAAAAAAAAAAAAAAGAAAAGGCCATCCAGCACCGTTTCCCGCCAAAGGAAACGGGCTTTCATTACCCGGCAGCGGCAATCCACGTCTTCCAACAGTGGGACCCACTCACTACCTTTTTTTGTTATGAAAAGAAGAGCCAAGRRAAAAAAAAAAAGCCCACTGTTTTTCATTTTCTTAAACTCGTTCGGGTCCTTCTCCACTCCAATCAAAAGACCCAAAACAGACCCCTTTTTTGGGTTCTTTATAGCTTCTTCTGATTCTTTTTATTCTCTCGTTCAAGTCAAGAAAGAAGGCCATGGGATCTTAAAATATAAATTACATAAACATAAACATACCTGCTTCTATGGCTTTCTGCTGCTCTCTTGTCTGCCGTGCCGCCATCAGCATAAAGCTTCGAACCCTTCCTTCCACCTCGATATCTGCAAAAATGGTGGCTGTGGCTCCAAGGTCGCTTCTTTGAGCCCCCATTCTCGGCGGACAGTAAACAATGAAATGTGTGTGTCTTTTCCTCTGCCTCGTTAAACGCGCCACCAATGTGAACGAGGGGCTATGATGTTGTAGATTTGTCAAAGTTTTTCCTGTTTCCGGATAGTGCTGCCTCCTGCAATCTTCATTTCAGCGACAAATTAGGGGAGTGGAGTTCTGAAAAAGAAAGGAAACACATACCTCGTTTCGAGAGTACGCACAGGCTTCTTCAAGACCCTGGCCTTATATTCTTCTGAACATGGTTGCCTTTGTAGCTGTAATAGTCTGCTTGGTTCTTCTGAGAACACCCAACATTTATGTGGCAAACGATGAAGAGTGGAAATCTGCTACTGCAACATACTCCAAAGAAACTGATGGGTCAATCGTTACAGGTACTCTTTTCCTTCATCTGCAATCTCCTAAAATTACACAAGTATTTAAAAATGGTGGTTTTCTGGGTTACTAAAGCTCGTTTTTCTATATCCTATGGGAGGTTATATGGCATATCTCGTCCACCTTTTGATCCTGCTTTGCCATGTCTGGAATTTTGTAACGAAAAGTGGGGAAATTAGTATTTCAAGTGCCTTTTTTTTACTAATGTTGCAGAAGGGGCTTGTGGTTACGGAGATCTGCATAAGATTAGCTATGGAAAACACAGCGCTGGACTGAGTAGCATGTTGTTTAATAGAGGGAGTACCTGTGGAGCTTGCTATGAGCTTAGATGTGTTGACCACATCTTATGGTGCTTGCAAGGAAGCCCGACCGTGATTCTAACAGCGACGGACTTCTGTCCTCCCAATTATGGCTTATCCTCTGATTATGGTGGGTGGTGCAATTTTCCCCAAGAACACTTTGAGATGTCAGAGGCAGCGTTTGCTGAAATAGCAGAGAGAAAAGCAGATATTGTGCCAGTTCAATACAGGAGGTAATATCAATCTAAATGCATATAGATTCGAACGTTTTGTCATCTTCGGCTAAGGGAAAAACCGTGTCTAAAATGTGTGTAGGGTGAGGTGTGACAGGAGTGGTGGATTGAGATTCACAGTCCGTGGCAATTCTCGCTTCTTTCAAGTTCTGATTACCAATGTCGGAATGGACGGTGAATTGGTGGCAGTGAAAGTGAAGGGATCAAGAACAGGATGGATACCACTGGCAAGGAACTGGGGACAAAACTGGCAAAGCAATGTCAATCTTCATGGGCAACCTCTCTCTTTTGAAGTTACCTCTAGCAGTGGAAGAGCACTTACTTCCTATGGTGTTGCACCTGGAAACTGGCAGTTCGGGCAGACATTTGAAGGGAAACAGTTTTGACATTGTCATGCAATTGAGGAATCTAAATCAAAATTTTAGGCCTTCTTCAAGGAAATATAACTAGAAACTCAAGCATTAGTATTACACTGGCAGTGGCATGTTAAATCTCTTGATGTGTAAACGCGCATCAGAATTAGACTGCACAAAATTAGCAGTCGCATAGAGCCTGCATTTTTCATCTGAACTATGTATAGTTTTACAAAAGCAATGTAGCTCTACAGAACCCGGTTTTGTCCTTGTATTCTACATATAATTATGCCCACTGTGGAAGGAAAAAGAAACCCAGTATCATGCACCTAGCATTATAATGCAGTTATTTTCCTTATATTTCCATCTTCGGTGGACTTAATGAAATTCTCATACTCACAACAGAAGGCTAAAGTATGTTGCATTGCAAGATGTACAGCTCTCTCTGCATAGACTAACGACAGTACCAATTGCGTGAAATATTTGGATCCCAGCAGCATGGGAAGCTGAAGCAAAAGAACAAGGAGAATAATGAGTACACCAATTCAATTCATCCAACATTCACAAGATCCAACTATTGTCAATTATCCAGTTGAACATAATCTCAAAAGTTACCACAAATATTTCACTGCCATGTGTGCATAAATTCATGTTCAAGGCAACTTTCTTGGTCTCTTCAGGTTTCTTCAAAGGAAACCCAGACGAACTACATCTAGCCACAAGTTCAATCTGTGCATATATTGGCTTCCATGATTGGGATCTAGATTCTGCAGCTCAGCGCATAGAAGTGGCTATAGCTGCCTCATCCTCTTCCTCTAGAAACTCAAGTAAATCACCATAAATCTTTTGTGCATCCTGCTTCACAATTCTTAAATCAACTGCCTCTACCGTTGATTCCAATCCTTTTATGACTATCCTGAAAGAAGTCTTATCTGGCTCGCAACCCACTTTTTTCATCAAGTAATAGGACTCCATCGCAAGCTCACCTAAATTATAACTAACCAAAGCCCTCAAAAGAGCGTTAAAACCGTCAATTTCAGGCGCTAAGTCAGTTTCTACTTTCAAGTAGGAATGAATAATTTGTACTTGTTCGAATAATCCATTGCTAGCCAATACTGTGATAATATCAGCATACAGCGAGACCTGAGGTTTGTACCAGTGTTCATTTCTAACATCTTCAAAAACCTAAGTCTCAGAAATCGAAAACAATATAGAATATCAGCAAGGAATATTGAGGGAAGTTACAACAAGCGAAAAATCTGTACTCTGGCTATCGCGATAGGGCAATATCGGAGTGATTTCGATATCAAATCAATCGTATATACAGATAAACGTAAAAATCGAGTTTTAGAGGCATCACCTTGAGAGCCAAAAGACACTCGTTCTGGCGCAGCAGCTCGCGAAGGACAGCCATCATATCGAACTTCAATAAGCGGCTAATTTTGGAATCATACACTCGGTCCAATTGTTGTAGATCGTTCTTGACTCGTTTCAACGACTGTACCGCTTGAATTGCTTCGATGCTGAGGTTCCTCCCCTTCTGCAACGGCTTCCGGTTCTCGCTTCCGCCTCTCATTGTCACTCTCCGATATTCCTCCGCCCTACCTAGTCGGAGGCAAGATGATTTCTCGCCGGAGCTCAGTAACTTGTGCGGCGAACTGAAAATCGTCGTCGGCGACGGAGGAATTGCTAAGAAATTCATCGTTCGCGCTCTCTCCGGGTGAAGTCCCGCCCCTATTACATCCACAGATTGGGTTCGTCATAATGAAATTAAATCCCAATACTGCCCCTTTGTTTTTCTAATTAAATGACGAGCGGCATATACCATAAATACAATTTTGTAATATTATAATTAAAAATGATTGGGAAATTGGAGTTGGTATTACGTGTATTTCAAAAATGTCATCGGTAAATATAGTAAAAATTTTCGCTTATATTAATAATATATTCATATAAGTAACTAATCAAATACTCATATTAGTAGTATATTTATATCATATATTCATATTAATAAATTTTCAAATACTCATATCAGTAGTATATTAAATATATAGCACATATATATTGCACAGATACTCATATCAATAATATGTCACATATATGTTGCAAGTACATTAGACGCTCATATCAACATTATATCGAATGTATATCACGTACATTTTTTTTACTACAATATATCAGTAGTTAGATATATTACATATATACTAATTTTATTAAATGTTTTTTACAAATTTGCAACAGTCACATGATTATTTTAAATACCAGCACAAACATAGCTCAACGGTAATGGAAAAAAAATGATTATTACTATATTTGGTTTATTTTAATTACTATGTTTTTTACTTTAATTAATTTTTGTCACTTACGTGATCATTTTGATTTATTGATTTTCATTTCTTATCTCAACTTTTTCACCATAATTTTAATTTGATATTTTATTCATTATTTTTTTTAATTCAGCCATAAATTTTTAAAAATAAACTAAATTGTTTACTTTTAAATGTGCATAAATTATATATTTTAACAATATAAAAATTCAAATAAATAAAAATTGAAACTATGTAAGCTAGAATAACAATGAAACCACGTAAAAGTAAAAGTATAATATAAAAAATAGTTACTCAAAGTATTGAATATCCGTTGATGTATTGACGTTTTCATCCATCCATAGTTTCAACATCAATGTACAGTATTGTGGGATACTTGACAAAATATGAAAATATCATCACAATATTATTAATATAGACATAATATTAATATTTCTAATTGATTCAAGATAGGTTTGATTTGTTAATTTAAATATTTTATAGGAATTTTTTTTATTTTTATAACTTTCAAGATATATTCATTGACATTTATATTTTATTAATACTTTCATCCCCGTCAACATTTAGAAGATTGAGTTAAATCTACAAAACTCAAACACTTAATAGTTTTCCTTCAAAAAAAGAAAACTTTGTACACCAAATTTAAATTTAAACTAAAATACTTATATAATAATACAATAATTCGGTGGCCGCAGTCCATATAATATCGAATCGTGTGCGGTAAGAAATGAGAAAGACAGCTACTTCGCTTTGGCAGTAGCAGTTGCAGTTCGTTATCCTTAAAATCACTCACCGGAAAACCACCATCGGCGGCGGATGGCAACGATGGCACGAACGCCTTGGGTGAGGATTAGGGCCTTCCCGATGCTGAATCCTCCGATTCTGCACCAGTCAAACTTCTATTTTGGGGGGAGATGCATCTCTAAATTTCGGAGGGGTTTCTCGGTGTCCGCATCTGTAGATAAGGTCGATGGAGGAGGAGTTCGGGTTCGCTTCGCACCTTCGCCCACTGGAAATCTTCATGTTGGTGGAGCAAGAACTGCCCTCTTCAATTACTTGTTTGCTAGGTTGGTTTATTCACTAGTCCGGCTGATTTTTAGTTTGCTCTGCCTGTTAAATTAGGTTCTGCAATGAATTTTGGGCCGAATTTGATCATAAATAGCTACTTTGCAGAGCATGTTCGATGTAATTTGTCTTCACAGACTTATACTTTTGTTTCTTACTTGTGGATTCGATGTCTTAGGTCCAATGGTGGAAAGTTTGTTCTGAGAATTGAAGATACTGATTTGGAAAGGTCCACTCGACAATCGGAGGAGGCTGTGTTGAAAGATCTTTCTTGGCTTGGTCTCGATTGGGATGAAGGTGCTTAAGTTATTTCAGTTTTTAAGTCACGTGTTTTTTTGGAGCATTTGTTTCTTCTCAATTCCAATTTTTGTGTTTCGTGGTGTTTGTCTTGATGTATTGCCACCAGTGTATGAGGCTCAGCATCACAATGCTCAAGTCAACATATTAGCTTTAGAGCACAGCCATTCCTGAATGGGAATTTATACCTTTGATGCTGTTTTCTTTGAAAAAGTATGAATGGAGTCCATCTGTTTGGATCTTGTTAGTGATATAACCATATGCAGGTCCCGGTGCTGGTGGAGAATATGGTCCTTACCGACAATCAGAAAGAAATACTCTATACAAACAGTATGCGGAGAAGCTTTTAGAATCTGGTCATGTATATCGCTGCTTTTGTTCAAATGAGGTAATCAGAAAAACATCATATATGGTTGTTTTTTTTTAAAAAAAAGAAATTTTGAACTTCTAATTAAGCAATGTTTGGTTGATAATGAGTTTTCACTATTCTGGGTTCCTCTCATTCTCATCAGGAACTTGAAAGAATGAAGGAGGTAGCAAAGCTGAAGCAACTGCCTCCTGTATATATGGGAAAGTGGGCCAGTGCTACTGATGAAGAAGTACAGGAACAAATGGAAAAGGGTACGCCTTACACATATCGATTTCGCGTGCCTCAAGAAGGGAGTTTGAAGATCAATGATCTCATACGAGGCGAAGTAAGTTCTCCTGCCTTTAGTTTATCTGCACTGTAACTGATCCCTTTTTGTACGTTATTGTGGCCCTGTTTCGGTATTTCTATTCCTCTAAATGAAAGGCTGTATTTCTTATTAAAATAAAAAATGGTATGGCAGATGTAATGGACTCATTATACAATGGACTGATAGAGTGAGTGAAATTGACTCAATAGTTCAGAAGAGAATATAGTGTATGCATACATGTGAATGCCTGGTGTCATGGTCATGCTTGTCCAGGGCCTGTTGCCTGTGGCCGCATGTCCATAACAACCTCTTTCCACATACTTTTATGCCATGTATTTAGTTTTGCTTGTTATTTTGTTTTGCTTGTACTTTTGGTGGCGAGTGACTCCTCGCCACTTTGCATGTTCACGCCTGCCAAAGGCAAAATGCTTTATAATCTACCTTAGGGGGTACACCTAGTCATCCTCCCTACATTGCGTTGTATTCTTGTCTTGCCGCTAATCTATTCTCTTGCATTCAAGCTTACAACAACTTCCAAAATGCTTTCAAACGTTTTCCAAAACCTTTTTCTCTAACCCCGTTTTCCAAAACCGTTTTCTCGAGAACGGGGGTGGAGGTTGCGACATATAGCCTTTGTGTCACTGGCTATTCGTTTCCGCATTGGCTGACTTGCTAGAGGGTGAAAGCAAGTGCCGCACAATCGCTTCTTGAGTCCCGTTAAAGTGCGATTGTGACACCTGGCGCCCAAAAGTTAAAAGATTTCCCGTCTTTCTTTTAAAGAAAAAGGTGCAGTTAACACATATGACCAACTACCTGATGCCTCTTTCTATAAGGGTTGAGATAGAGTGCATTCTTCTCTGAGAGGGGCAGATGGTTGGTTAAGTCAGAGTCATGTCGTGTGTGTAGCTCTCTGACGCTCATTTGCATAGGCCAGAGGATTTGTGAAGCTACAACAGTGATGCCTCTTCAATCAATAACAACTACCCTCTCTTCAACCTCATTAATCAAACTTATGTTGTATTTGGTTGTTAACTTTATTTACTAGTGTCTTGAAGGTTAGCTGGAACTTGGATACACTTGGAGATTTTGTAATTATGAGGAGCAATGGGCAACCTGTCTACAATTTTTGTGTCACTGTTGATGATGCTACCATGGCTATCTCGCATGTCATAAGGTAATGACTGCATCCTCCTTAACCTATATGGACTTTTACTTGCTGTTACTTTTACTCTCCTTGAATATTTCATCTCATCCGTTGAATTTCCTTTACACCGTGACGTGTTAGCTAATTTTCTCAGTATTTTCATTTCAGAGCAGAGGAACATTTACCGAACACCCTAAGGCAGGCCCTGATATATAAGGTAATCTTATACCCCTTTACCTTCAGGGTTTTATTTATTTATTTAAAATTTCATACACTAACCAAAGGAATATGATTTCTCTCGTTAATAAATCCTCCTGTTACAGGCTCTTGGTTTACCAATGCCTTATTTTGCACACGTTTCCTTAATTCTTGCACCTGATCGTAGTAAACTGTCAAAAAGACATGGTGCAACATCAGTTGGTCAGGTATTCCTTTTGTTGCATACGTTTGATTCCATAGGCAAAAGCTGGCATAATATGTGATATATATGTCTATTTGTATATATTCCCATATTTTTCTTAAAGTTCTTTTTTAATTGGAACATGCATTTTAACTTGAATTAAATACTCCTGATCTCTAATAACTCTGCTTAACAGTACAGGGAGATGGGATATCTGCCCGAGGCTATGGTTAACTATCTGGCTCTATTAGGTTGGGGGGATGGTACTGAGAACGAGTTTTTTACTCTTGAACAACTTGGTTGGTGATTCTCTCCATGATTTTTCTTTCTATTTCTTTTTTCCGCCCTTTCCAATCTTTATTCCAATGATTTCTAACATTTTTTTCTTGATTACTATTTAACTGTCTTCTTGCACTGACAGTGGAAAAGTTTTCAATTAGCCGTGTAAACAAAAGTGGTGCTGTTTTCGATTCTACTAAGTTAAGGTAATAATGATTTGATACTAAATGGGTAAAAGTTTTCTTGCTTTTAGAAGCACGCTCCTGCAGTTCAGATTTTAACAATGTCATTAGAATTTTAGTTCTTTGTCAAAATGCATTTGTATTTAACTAATATGCTTTATTTTAATGACTATTGTAATTTATTTCATAACTAATAAGAAGCATTAGTCATCATAACTATTTCTCTCCAATGCAATCTGTGGAAATTAGGTGGATGAATGGTCAGCATTTGAGAGCCCTTCCATCCGAGGAAGTAACCAAGCTTATTGGTGAACGCTGGAAGAGCACGGGTATCCTGACAGAATCAGAGGGGCCGTTTATTGAGGTAAGAGTCTATTGCATAGGAAGGCGGAAATATTGTTAACTTAAAAGAATGATCATCAAATAGTAGTAAGATGTCCATGAGGACGAAAGGAGCTTACAAAAAAGGACTCCAATTGGCGTAAAAACAGTGAGAATCTTAGGGACTGAAGGTCTTGGAAAGAGTGAGTACGCCAACTGGAAGTTATTAATATTTCTTAATTTGATGCCTCTTCCCTGCCCTAGGCTTGCTTTGAGAAGTCCTAAGGCTTAGTTGCACTCAAAGTTCCCACGATCGCAACCTTTATCACTTGCTTCCTTAATTCGATGCCTCCTCTCAGGCTCTCAGCCCTAGACTTGCTATGAGAAGTTCCAAGGTTTTAATTACACTCCCCCGATCACACCTTTACCACATTAGGCCAAATGATTCCCTTTCTTAGGTTTGTGGGTATATAGAAGTCGTAGAAGTGCATCTACTGAGTGGAGAACGCCCTTGCAAATTGAAAGGTCCTGATAATTTAGTTTCAACAAGTAGAAGCAAGATTTACGATGATAAAAAAAGGATGGCAAGAGTCCTACACAACATGTTTGTGTGACATTAGAAAAACCTGATTTTCTTGGGAGTCTTCTGCTTCCATGTGGCTGAAGGGAGAACAGAGGGTAGGATAGGAGGAGCTTTTGTCAGAGATGAAAAGGTGGATTTACACAAGAGAAGACCCTCAGAATGCTCAAAAGACGAGAGCTAACTGTTGGTTAAGAAGTACTAGTTGCTGGTGCAGCATGATAAGGAGCGCTATTAAGCCTTCAGCCTCATGAACAATAGAAGCCTTTGCGAAAAGGGAAATTCCTTGCCTTATTAACCTCATCCAGAGTAAAATTGTTGGAAAGGCACCTGATACAGATTTGGGACAACTTGCTTAAGAAGAGGGCATTCTCCATTTCCAGGCTTAAAGGTGAAAAACTTTCTGGTGTTGCGATAGCAATTGGAAATAGAAAGCAAGGGCTTTTGTTGCTACCTCCTTGCAAGGTCTTGAAAACCGGTTATTATGACTTACCCAATTTTTAATGACAATGATCTTGTACCATGATGCACTTGTCTCTTAAGAAACAGCCTGCCCCGCTTAGAGAAAAGATAAATGTTTCTTTTGGTGAGACTTCCTACTCCCAGACAACTTAAACTCAAAAGGAGGAAAGGCGAATTTCAAGTTTACTAAATTGGTGTCCTCTGCAGTTCCATATGGAAGGAAGTCTCACATTATCTTTCCCACTGCTTAACTTGCATGGGAGTCTTTGTATGTAACTTTAAAATAATCTTATATCTTATTTGTATTATGGTGGAATATCCATATCCTTCATGATCGGAAACTACATAGGGTTCGTGCTTTAGTGTAATTGGGCATTTGTGCCTTTCTGTTTTTTTTTTGTCTGTTTGGCAATAATGTCTGGTAGATTGATGAATTTCAGTAATGTTCTTTCCTTTCATACTGCTGTGCTACAATTATGAAAGCATTGCACGGTAAGTGATTTAATTTTATATATAGGAATCAGTTCAGCTTCTCAAAGATGCAATTGACTTGGTTACTGATGCTGACAAGGCGCTCTCAAACCTTCTATCTTATCCTTTACACACTACTCTAACAAGGTATTTTGAACTTCGTGCATATTGTCATTATTACCATGATATTATTTTGCATAACAAGACTTGAAAGTTTGTGAAATAATGATTTGGGTAAATCTTCCTCAATTCAATGATCTTTAAGATATTTAAAATAATGTTGTCTTTCATTATGGCAATACTTTTATCATACGTATTTCTTTTGTCGTATTGTGTCTGATGTAGGATAGGGTTGAGAAATAGAATATGAGATATAGAGGGGTAGAGAAGATTGTAAAATAGAAATGCAGGAGGGAGGAGGGAAGAAAGAGCGGAAGCAAAGATTTATGGAAACCATATGAAGTTTTGTTTGGCCTAACAACCTGCTGGTCCTTTCCATATGTGAATAGCAGGTTCATAACCACACATCTGGTGTTCCCCAAACACTTAGTTGAGACTGAAAGAGTAGTATCAGTTCTAAATATCAAATGTTGCAACCTAAATAAATGGAGGGCTAGGCTTGTTGCTAGAAGCCAGCTTGCTCTCTGACTAATTCAATCATTCTTCTTTTTTTTTTTCTTTTTTTTTTCTGTGTTAGCAAGCAACTATTTCCTTTTGTGACTAAGATTTTATATCTTGTGTAAAAAACGGTTGATAAGTTTCTGATGGCCGTTTGTTTTGTGAGAATCTAAGATTTCCATAGGGTGAGCACCTATATTTGCTTGACAGGAATGTTTAATACCTGAACATTTTTAGATGGCTAAGCATCCTAAGATGCCCATCAGGAGGGATCAAAGCAATTTGGAACACCCTCCTGCAACATGAATTTTTTAGAAGATGTGCTCAACATGGGAGTCTTAAAAAAAGATGCCCTCAACATGAAAATTGTAAAAATCCATGTGGTAGGAGGACATGCTCAGATGCCTCTTGTATAGGCATTTTAGGATGACCATGTATCTAAAAATGTTGGAATGTTCAACATTCCTGTCAAACAAATACAGAAATCTAGATGTCAATTCCATAGAAATCTTAGATTCCCACGAAACATATAACCTAGTAGTTTATTTGCCCAACTTATACTCAGATATTGCTATATTGCCACATCCTCTATCTTCAATTTGCAAAATTATGGCTGCGGGAGAATGCCTTTTGCAAAATTGATACTTTCAATTTCTTAAATTTATGGATGCTTGAAGATTTTCCCGCTGTCTGCAGTTTGGAAGCTAAACCTGTTGTAGAAGATGAGCTTTCTGAATTTGCAGCCAGCCTCATAGCTGCATATGATAGTGGTGAAATCCTTAGTGCGCTTGAAGAAGGCCATTCTGGCTGGCAGAAGTGGGTGAAGAATTTTGGAAAATCATTGAAACGCAAGGTATGCTTCAACTCATTGCCATTTTATTATTTGAATTCTCGCTTCCTTGTAGTAATTTTCTTACCTCTTAGTGTTAGAAAATCAGAATCCTTCTCCTAACTAGGACCACCAATGGCAGGGAAAATCGCTTTTCATGCCGCTCCGACTGTTGCTGACTGGAAAAATCCATGGCCCCGATATGGGGACCAGCGTGCTCTTACTCCATAAAGCTAGAACTTCCGGTGTCGTCGCTCCACAGGCCGGGTTCGTGCCACTGAATGACAGGTTTGAAATTCTTAGACAAATTGACTGGGAAACAGTAAGCCAAGATAACACTATATTAGAGTCAGCTGAACCTGCGGCAGTCCCCAACTGAGGTTTTATACAGTTTTGATCGGCTTTTCGATGAAATTTGTCAGTATAAATTATGTTTTGGTATGAATAATTTGTGGTTTTTTGTTCTTGTAATCACGAGAAATAACTATCCGATGAGATGTACTCCGTATTTGTAATGCAGTGTCCAGTTTTTGGTTGAGTGTACACATGCTGATGTTGGCTCGGGGTGCAGGGTGAGAAATTATTGAATGAGGTCACCATAACGAGACAATTTCTAGTAACCATTTGATGCATATTTGAAATCTATATGCCTCATTATACCTCAAATATATATTTAAAATATGTTTTTTTTTAGAAATGTAGATATTGCATGAAGGAATATTTTACTTTTTTTGACAAAATCTCAATTGTATCATATTTTAAGATTGCTGCATTGACCAGCATTTTCTTTTTCCAATTTGCAATATCTGAAAGTGAATTAAAAGTTTAAAAAAAATAAACGAGAGAGAGAGAAAAATTTGTTGATTCAATCAACAGAATCTTGCCGAAGTTTAGAAGTTAGATAATTTCATTGGTCTCATTTATTGCTTTCGTGTTCATAATCGTATAATGCGATTATAAATAATGTAGTCAATAGCCGTTATTTGAATGCTATTTTATTTTATAAAGTCAACTTTTAACAATTTTGTAGTTAAGCATGTTTGGATGATAGTAATATTAAGGTAGATGATCATTTAGGAAATTCTCATGTTGCACCATTTTTTATTTTAAAATTTGTACTATAAAGAAAAAACTTTCAATAAAGAAATATTTGTCGATAATTGTTTTATAAATTCTTTTGATGGTGAGTATTGTTTCGTGAAAAAAAAAAAACACTTTTCTCTGGTTCAAATGTAGGTGGGGAGGAGCAAAATTTTCTAACTTAGGAAGAGGAAGAGTAATAGGTAGTTTATTTAAGTTAAAAGTTCGAATTGACTAAAATTTTAATGCTGAAAATTAACTTTAAAAAATTAGTTAAAAAAGTTCATCTTCAAAATAGATTATATTTTTATTTGAAACTGCACCAGCATGRATATAACTTACGAGTTAGACATCTACTAACTTTTAGTTATAGATTCAAATTTTCATACCTCACGTTGGTTGTACATAAAACAAAATCGAGAATACGACATCATTTTATGTTTTTACTGCAATAAACAATATGTTTCACCAACATTTCTATAAATGAAAAATTCCATCAATAAGTATTTTCATAGTCCCAAATGTAAAAAATTAAATAAAAAATAAAATATTACCCCATAGCATAAATTTAATTGTATTTTAAAAATTGCCAACTTTTTTATTTATTTTCAAATATAACATAAGTTTGATTTTTCTATGTATGTTTCCTATTATATTTGGTTTTCACTTTGATTTAACATATTATTGTTAAATTTTAAATTTTTTATTTATTGAAAAATACATATTTATTTCATGTCATTGATGTGAATTTCTCAAATATTTATGATTTATTTGAGAAACGTCCAAACCTTATTTACTAATTTAAGTAAAATGAATTAATTTTCATATTTGCTGACATTGATATTTCATCAATAAGAAAAGATATCTTAACATTTTTGCTATCCTCTCTAGGTTTAATCCATTGAACTATTCACCTCCCTCTATAACTTTCGTTCAGAAGACGCGTGTATCAGACGCGAGTTCAAGCCAACAGCACGATGTAAATTATTTCCGATTTACGCAAATATCGGTTCTCTCTTTCTGTGTGATTTTGTTGAACAGGTTTCGCTTACAGGGGCTTCAACTTGGCAACAATCAGAGAGCGGAAGCAAAAAAGGGGAAAATTCAGGTATGGATTTTGAAGAATCGGTTGAGCTTCGAGCCGGACGTTGAATTCAAGCTACCACTGACAAATTTTCTTCGATCCAATTCCCTCCAGAATCATGATTCTTTGAATGGATCTGTGTTCGTCGATCCAGCAGCAATGTCGGTGTCGCAAACCCTAGGTGGAACGTCCAGATGCGGCCGCGCGATCGGCCCTTCGCTCGATAAGATTGTCAAGAACGCGGCCTGGCGTAAGCATTCTCACCTCGTTTCTTCCTGTAAATTGGTTCTCGATAAGCTTGATTCTCTAGGGGAGGCTCCTCTTGATCCTGCCTCCGGACTCGCTGGCCTTTCACCGACCGATGCAGAATTCGTGCTCCAACCTCTTCTTTTGGCCCTTGATGCTGCATACGTCAAGGTTGCCGAGCCCGCACTTGAGTGCCTCTTCAAATTGTTCTCCCGCGGTCTTTTTCGTGGCGAGATCGAGCGGCCGGAGAGCGAGGCGAATTCCAGTCCCAGTACCATTGTGTATAAGATCGTTGAGTCTGTTTGCAAGTCTGGAGGTCTCGGCGATGAAGGAATTGAGCTCACTTCTCTCAGAGTATTGCTCTCTGCGGTTCGAAGCCCTTGTGTATTGATCCGCGGGGATTGTCTGGTCAATGTTGTTCGGACTTGTTATAATGTGTATCTCGGTGGCTTAACTGGGACGAATCAGATCTGTGCAAAATCCGTTCTAGCTCAAATTATGGTCGTTGTTTTCAGTAGGGTGGAGGAGGACTCAATGGATGCTCCTATGAGGATAATTTCTGTGAGTGAATTATTGGAATTTACCGATAAGAACTTGAATGAAGGAAATTCTATATATTTTTGCCAGAACTTCGTTAACGAGGTAATGGATGCCAGTGAAGGGATTGCGGAGAAGAAACTATATTCGTTTTCGTCACAATTACAGAATGGCAATGCTTCGCCACTGAAAGTTGACAATAAAGGTGAATCTGATGTAGGAGAAACGGAAGATGGAGCCGAATCAGGTGGTTGTAGTAAGATTAGAGAGGATGGATTCCATTTGTTTAAGAATTTGTGTAAATTGTCAATGAAATTCTCATCACAGGAGCACCCGGATGATCAAATCCTTTTAAGGGGGAAAGTATTGTCTCTGGAGCTGCTAAAGGTTGTTATGGATAATGCAGGTCCAGTTTGGCGTTCTCACGAGAGGCAAGCATTTCATTCTCCATTGATCATTTTAGTGTTACTCACGAACACATCTTTAGAAGTGCCTTTAACTCCTCAGGTCATGCAAAATGTTGACCAAATTAGTTTTCTACCTTTTAATCATGCAATTTTATCTTATTAAACTTGGTATTTTCATTGGGAGAAATTACTTCCGGCAGTCTGAAAATTGTCTCATTTTGTCGGGTACTTTATAGTAAGCTATTGTTGATTCGATAAACTGTGACAGATTCTGTCACTGTTGGTTTCAGGTTTCTCAACGCTATCAAGCAATATCTCTGCTTATCATTATTAAAAAACAGTGCATTATCAGTGATGGCCATCTTCCAGCTTCAATGTTCTATTTTTACGAGCTTGTTAACAAAATTCAGATCGGGATTGAAAGCAGAAATGGGTATCTTCTTTCCCATGCTTGTTCTCCGGGTGCTTGAGAATGTACTTCAGCCTAGTTTCTTGCAGAAAATGACCGTGCTCAATTTATTGGATAAGATATCCCAAGATTCGCAGATTATGGTGGACATTTTTGTCAACTATGATTGCGATGTTGATTCTCCAAATATTTTTGAGAGGTACTGATTTTGCCCATACCTTTTGTTTTACTCTAGTTTAAATTATAGTTTTCCTTTGTTTTCTCAAGGGTTGATATTTTTCTTCCTCTCCTCTGCATGCGAGAATGGGACTGGGGGGGGGGATTATGTGTTGGTTTGTGGAGGGGGATTTTAGTTTTCATAATGTGATGTTAACCTCATAAGTCACACCCCATTGAAATATTTGCAGGATTGTGAATGGCCTTTTGAAAACTGCTCTTGGACCACCTTCTGGTTCGACCACAGCATTGTCTCCAGYGCAGGATATCACATTTAGGCATGAATCTGTCAAGTGTTTGGTAAGCATAATTAAATCAATGGGAACTTGGATGGACCAACAACTGAAGCTAGATGATACTTCTTTACCCAAGATTCTTGAGAATGATGCTTCACCTGAGAGTCATTCGATTATAAGTGGGGAAGAAACAGCTGCTGTTGACTCTGAGCTCAATACGGATGGAAATTCTGAGTCTTCAGATACTGCTACACTTGAGCAACGAAGAGCTTACAAAATCGAACTCCAGGTTTGAGCATCATCTTATCTTTAGTTAATGCCATTTTATTTATGTAGAGGGTGGGTGACAAGTGGGGCCTCCAATTGTGGTAATGGTAATATTATAATTCAAATTAGTAGGGTTTAAGATGAAGGTTCAAGTTAGGATAAGATGTACAAATTCTATATGGCAATTTCTTGGGAGATTTTTGGAAAGATATGTAACAAAATTTGTGAAGACAACTAGAATGAGGTGGAGTTTTTTTTTGGGGATACGGATAGAGTTTTTGGTTATGGTCTCCTATGGTCATTTATCTCAAGGAAGTTTTGTTAGTGGCTGTTATATTGACAAGTTTGAGAGCCTTTTCGTGGATCTCTTTATTTTGTTTTGTATAAGGTTTATTTAGTCATCTTGTTTGCAACTATCTTTTGCTAGAGACGAAAGTTAAGTTTCTTATATTAAAAAAAACTATCTTTTGCTAGAGATGAAAGTTGTTAATGTTGTTGATGGTTTTATTTATTTATTTGGGTGATAAACCATTTCGTCAAGAAGAGAAAATAAAATAGAGGAAGGGAGATGGGGCATTCTTCCTAGGTTAGATTCATTAGAAGAGATAACAAAAAGACTTCCCAGTTGACATTGGTAAAAAAAAAAAAAACTCTTTTTTTTGAGGTGCAGGTTGATTGTGGTTGGATAGTTCATAGTATAAAATCATTAAAAGTTTCATCTTCTTTTGTGCAGTTGTTTTGAAATATTTTATTATGAATGGTTTGTATTATTTGTTGGCGTCAATAATGATGTACTATAGTTCTTGAACCGCCATGGGTTGATTTAGTGGTTTATAAAGCCAATGTGAATAAAAAAACTCAGAAGGAATGAGTTCAAGTCAATGTGGCCTGGCCACCTACGCAGAATTTAATATTATTCGACTTACCTTAGCAACCAAATATTATAGGGTCAGATAGTTGTCCTAAGAGAATGATCAAGATGCATGCAAATCTGGCTTGAACAATCACATATATCAATGAAAAAAAGATGTACTATATTTCTTGAGAATCATTGAATTCTGTGTTTCTTTTTTCTTTTTTATTTGCCTTTTGGTCTAGGACACCTCATTCTTGGATATTTTTTTGAAC